GGGAGGTAAAGGTCACAGTGAGCTGAGATTGCACCAGTGCACTCCAGCCTGGGTGACAAAACGAGACTGTCTCAAAAAAAAAAAAAAAAAAAAAAACCTGGCTGTGGGCCGAGTGTGGCGGCTCATGCCTGCAGAGTCCTAGCTACTCAGGAGGCTGAGGTGGGAGACTCACTTGAGAACAGGAGGTCGAGGCTGCAGTGAGCTGTGATCACACCAGTGCACTTCAGCCTGGGCAACAGAGAGAGACATTCTCCCTCTAATGTGTGTGTGTGTGTGTGTGGTGTGTGTATGTACACACACACATATATATGGGTGTGGGTTGGCTGTGGGTTTAAACCCCAACATTGGCTGGGTGCAGTGGATCATGCCAGTAATCCCAGCACTTTGGGAGGCCAAAGTGAGAGGTTTGCTTGAGGCTAGGAATTCAAGACCAGCCTGGACAACATAGCAAGACCCCACCTCTACAAAAAATACAAAAAAAATTAGTTGGGTGTGGTGGTGCACACCTGTAGTCCCAGCTATCTGGGAGGGTGAGGCAGGAGGATTGACTGAGACTGAGAGGTTGAGGCTGCAGTGAGCTGTGATCATGTCACTGCACTCCAGCCTGGGTGACAGAGCAAGACCCTATCTTACTGTTTATCATCTACAAAATAAGTGGCTGTATCCATTCTGCAGCTCAAAAAAACTGAGGTTCTGAGAAAAGAGGAGAGGTGAGGCGAGGGGAGGAGAGGGAAGGGGTAAGGCCCCCCCGATCGGCCTGCCCTCTCAGGCATCGGCCCTGACACCAGATGAGGTCCAGGAGATCAGCCCAGTTGATGTCCTGTCCAAGTGGTCACCCCGGTCTGGGGCAGGACTTCCAGGCCAGACAACCTGTTTCCCCACTTCCCGCCTCCACATGTGTTCTGACCCCCTCAAAGATAGAGGCAGAGAGAAAGGGGTCTCTCAGACCATCAGGGTGGCAGGGCCTGTGCTGGGGACCCAGGGGTGGCCTGACCCCAGGCATCGGTCATTTTAGTCCAAAACATCCACCTCAATTTGCATTAGCTTAATCCTGGACACACTGGCTGCTGGGTCCCCAGAAGGGGCTGCCGAGGTGGGGATCCAGGCACCACACCTGGACTTATTAGGGGCCAACTCCTTCCACCAGTGGATTTAACCCTGAACATCATCTGACGAAGGCTGCTGGGCCAAGCTGGAACAGAATCGGCGCCGAGTCTGGGAGGCAGAGGTGGAGGCACCAGGATGGCCGGAACGCGAAGGGCATGAGAAAAAGAACCAAGGGATGTGTTCTGGCCGAGTGGTGTTTCCCACGGGACTTCGTAGAGCCTTCACTGATCTATACCTCCACTCTCTCAGGGAGTGGCCACACTGCACAGTGGTTCCCAAACTGACTTGCCCACAGGACCCTTGTGGATAGTTGCGGGAGATCATGTTGGCCCCACTGCAGAGTGTGGAAGGGACGCCTCCACCCCGTCCCTGAGGCAGCCGTCAACAAACGGCTCACTCCGGTGGTAGTAGATGCCAATGCCATCCCTATGGCCCCCCGGCAGGACAGGGATCGGGGAGCTGTGACACCTCGTTTTAAGGGGCCACCCATTAATTAATTAGGGTCCATGAATAATGCATACCGCCTTGGGTATATTAATAGCATATTTATATGGTGTGCTATGGGGAGTATACATTCTCATCTGAACACCTCACAAATAATTCACGACGCCGCTCCTTCCCCAGCCTCCAGGAGAGGGAGCCTGGCCGGTGCTGCGGCTGGGGCTGGTGGGCTGCTTCCCACAGCCAAATTTTACATTTCATTATAAATGGCTTTGCTGGGCATGTCGGTAACTCGTACATTTCCATCCACTTTATTATTAATGGCTTTCCTGAACTGTAGCAGCCCGACGCCGTGCACAATGCGTTATAAATATTTGATCCAGCATCTATGGCCTGCCATTTATCATTTATAACGGGTTACAAAAACATTATAAAACATTTACTGCACATTTATAGATCATTTTCGACTACCACCACGATGTGTTATAAATACATTATTAATCCTCTCCACGACATTTATAGGAATCCCTTGTAATGGGGCCTGCCCACCCCCACCCTTGAGGTTCGAGCACAGAGCTTGCACGGGGGCTGTCAGGGGTCACTGCGGCAGGACCTGGACAGACAGAGAAGCCTGGACTACTTCTGATTGCTGTGTGTCCTTGGCTGGACCATGGCACCTCTCTGTTCAGAGAAGAGGGATAATAGCGACAGATGCCTGGCACTGGGCACCTGCTGTGTGTCACACATGGTCTTCACTGCCCTCGAATCTCAGGTCTTTTAAATTTTATTTTTTTGAGATGGAGTCTCACTCTATTGCCCTGGCTGGAGTGGAGGGGCACCATCTTGGCTCATCACAGCCTCAGACTCCCAGGTTCAAGTGATTCTCCGGCCTCAGCCTCCCAAGTAGCTGGGATTACAAGCGCCTGCCACCATGCCAAGCTAGTTTTTCTATTTTTAGTAGAAGAAACAGGGTTTTATCATGTTGGCAAGGCTGGTCTTGAACTCCTGATGTCAAGTGATCCACTCAACCTCCGAAAGTGTGAGATTACAGGTGTGCGTCACTGTACCCAGTCATGTTTTTATTTTTTGAGACAGTCTTGCCCTGTCACCCACGCTGGAGTGCAGTGGCATAATCTCAGCTCACTGCAACCTCTGCCTCCTGGGTTCAAGCGACTCTCCCACTTCAGCCTACAAGTAGCTGGGATTAAAGGCAGACATCACCATGCCCGGCTAATTTTTATTTTTGAGACAGAGTCTCCCTCTGTCACCCAGCCTAGAGTGCAGTGGTATGATCTCGACTCACTGCAACCTCCGCCTCCTGGGTTCAAGCAATTCTCTACCTCAGTCTCCCAAGTAGCTACAATTACAGGTGCCTGCCACCATGCCCAGCTAATATTTTGTATTTTTAGTAGAGACAGGGTTTCACCATCTTGGCCTAGCTGGTCTTGAACTCCTGACCTCAGGTGATCTGCTGCCTTGGCCTCCCAAAGTGCTGGGATTACAGATGTGAGCCACCATGCCCAGCCTTGTTTTTACTTTATTTTTTGAGACAGAGTCTCACTCTGTCACCAGGCTTGAGTGCAGTAGTGCGATCTTGGCTCACTGCAACCTCAGCCTCCCGAGTAGCTGGGACTACAGGCGCATGCCACCACATCCAGCTAATTTTTGTATTTTTAGTAGAGATGGGATTTCACCATGTTGGCCAGGATGGTTTTGATCTCTTGACCTCATGATCCACCCGCTTGGCCTCCCAAAGTGGTGGGATTACAGGCATGAGCCACTGCAACTGGCCCCTTGTTTTTATTTTTTTGAGACGGAGTCTTGCTCTGTCACCCAGGCTGGAGTGCAGTGGCTCAGCAATGTCTGATCACTGCAGGCTCCGCCTCCTGGGTTGGGTTCAAGGGATTTTCCCACCTTAGTCTCCAAGAGATTAAGGGCATACACCACCATGCCTGGCTAATTTTTCTTTTTTTGAGACGAGTCCTGCTCCGTCACCCAGGCTCAAGTGATCTCAGCTCACTGCAACCTCCAACTTCTGGGTTCAAGCAATTCTTCTGCCTCAGCCTCCCAAATAGCTGGGATTACAGGTGTGCATCACCACGCCTGGCTAATTTTTTGTTTTTTTAGTAGAGATGGGGTTTCACCATCTTGGCCAGGCTGGTCTCAAAACCCTGACCTTAGGTGATCCACCCACCTTGGCGTCCCAAATAGCTGGTATTACAGGCGCCTGCCACCATGCTCGGCTAATTTTTTATATTTTTAGTAGTCAGGTTTTCACCATGTTGGCCAGGGTGGTCTTGAACTCCTGACCTCAGGTGATCCACCCGACTTGGCCTCCCAAAGTGCTGGGATTACAGGCATGAGTCACTGCGTCCGGCCTCAGGTGTTATTTTCATACCCATTTCACAGGTGAGGAATCAGGCTCAGAGAGGGGCAGTGATTTGTCCAAGGCCACAGTCAGCGAGTGTGAGAGCCCTAGGGTGGGTCCTGCCTCGAGTAACCCATCTGCATGGGCTCCCCAGAGGCTACGCTGACAGGACTCTATGGACAGGGCTCCCGGGGTCTTGGCTGGAATGCTGACTGGGGATGAAGAGGGCCAAAAGGGTCTTTGGGATCCAGCAGCCCTTCCACAGTACCCCAGCTCTGTAGGCCCCCTGCCCTGTGTGCCCAAGGACCCTGTGTCTCCAGGAGCCTGGTACACAAGGCAGACTGTGGTCAGTGAGGCCCTCACCAGGCCCCTGCATTTTCCATCCCAGGGAGGGCATGTGGCTGTCTCCCAATTCCCTCCCCTCCCAGAGCCCCAGTCTCCCTACCACGGGATGAGCTCCCCAGGAGCCCTCTGTGTGCCACGCCTGTCCCATGCCTCCTGAGGCTTGCAGGCCCCTCCAGGCCTGACTTCACAGCAGGAGGGCAACCGTGGGAAAAGAGGGCTTAGGGCTCTGGACCCTCCCCTCTGCCCACCCTGCTGGTCAGCCAGAGCCCTGTGGCCCCCTACAAATCCATGGGCTCAACTCCCCTCAACCCCTCAAGACCCACCCACCATGCTGCCCTCCCCCAACTGCCCTTCCTAACTCCCAGGTGCAGAGAGGGTGCCTGATGCACCGTGGTACAGGTATAGTGGGGTCCAACCCTGGGTCCCCCGTGAGCACAGCAGGGCCTGGCATTGGGTGTCTTTTAGGGTCTGGCCTAATGAGGGGTTTGGAGAGAGAACTGGGATGTCCAGTTCTGCCTGCCCATGCTTCTCAGCTCAGGTTGCCAACTAAGAGGGAAGGGGTGGCTGACACTGGGAGGGGCCTCAGCCACATCCTCCTCTTCCGAAGCACCTGGAATGATCCCCACCGCCAGCTGGTCCTGGGCCTAACTGGGTCAGGAGTTGGGTTGCTCAGAAAGGAGCTGGGGGAGGGAGGAATCAGGGCCCAGGCACCCCAAGCAGCTCCCGCCCTGCACCCTACCTGCCACATGACCCTGGGCCACTGTCTGGGCTTCCCAGGGTGAATGGGGAGATCTGGACTCCTGCTGCTGAGGTGCTCAGGCCCCAGGTGCCCACATTCAGCCCTGTAGCCGCCACCATCTGGCCTGTTTGAAGGTCAGGGTCCATCCCCACCCAGAGCTAAAAATGAAACCAGGAAGCAGTTGTTTTGAGACTGAGAAAGCAGGTGAGCTTGTCACTATGGTATCCCCTGGCTCCACCCCATCCCTGCCTGGAGAAGGGAGCTCGGGACTGCCAGGAACCACTGGGAGAGGCTGGGACGCTGCCTTGGGACTCTGCCTGGCCTGACTCAGATGTGCCCCTGGAAGGAAGGGAACTGTGGGGTCTGGCCTGGACCCTCTGAGTCCCGGGGCCAACTGGGCTCTGGTAGTCACCCTGGGTGAGGGGCTGGCAGCCGCAGCCATAGTGGAAGGTGCTGATCCCAGATCCTCCACTGTTCCAGAACAGATGGCTAGGGACCTGCCCACAGCCACCCAGCAGTGCAGGGGTCCTGCTGGATGCCCCCCCAACATAGCTGGCTCCCAAGATCCCTGGGCCCAGTGGCTGTGGGGAGGAGCTTGGGGAACCAGAGGAAGAGGGGAGGCCAGGCGTGGATCATGGCCTGACCTGGGGCCCCCTGGTCCATCTCATAGGACCCTGTCCACCTTGGAGCCAGCACCAGCATTCCAACCCCCACGCCTCTGCTCACACCAGCCCCCACCAGATGCTTGCCGTGTGCACAGATCCCAATCTACCCACTTCTTTATCCAGGCTTGGTCAGGCCTTCCCTCCCAGACGTCTTCCCATCTTCCCCAGCACAGACCACAGAGGCTTCTCACCTCTGGGACACAGAACCCAGGGTCCACCCAGCACCCAAGGCCTGACATGCCCCCCCCTCGGGGTTCCCTCTATGGTGGGGACAGGCTTCTGCCACCCTCTAGGGCTCATGGAAGCCCTAGGCAAGGTAGGGGCTAACTGCCCCATGGGTGAAACAACTGTGAGCCACCAAGTCCCTGGGCCCTGGGGTCAGCACCCTGGGGTGGGTGGGGTCTTGGGCACGCCTGGCACATCCTGGCCCCACTGGGCACACTCGCCAGAGGCAGTACTTCTTGCCTGAGCCCCCAACACCTGCCAGGACAGCTGCTTCCCACAGATGCCTCTGCTTAGCGTAACCTCTGCTGCCTCCTGGGCAGGTCTGAACACAGGCCTAGGCAGTGAGAGGGAAACCAAGGCCCAGAAAGGGACTCCTGGGTCCCAGGCCCCAGGATCAATGCCCTGCCCTCAGCTCCCTCCCACCCTCTTTCCTGGTGCTTGGTCCATGACCCCAGCCAGTGTCCTGGGGCTCTATCACAAGCTGCTCTGAGCCAGACACAGGCACCCCTGTGAAGGGTCCAGGCCTGCACCCAGCTGAGACACAGACTGGCCTCCAGGCCTGGCAGGAGCATCCCTCCTGTTTCCTATCCTCAACCCAGGCATTGGGCTCTGGGCCCATGCAACTTGGACCTAACTCCACTCCCTGACCAGACCCCAAGGTAGGCAGGCCTCCGCTGTAAGGACCCCCACCCCACAGCCTAGCTGGAGGGACAGAAGAGCTGAGGACCAGAGACTGCTGGGGCTGCAGGAGGTTCAGCACTGTGGGTACAGGAACCCTTCTTGGAGGAGGTGCCTCGGGAGCCTGTAGAGGGTGTATCATCGGGAAGGGTGGCTCCTGGCTGGAGGGGATGCGGCGACATGGCTGGAGTGCTGTACCTGAAGAGAAGGGTTGGGATCCCGAAGGTTCAGACTGCCTGCCCACCCGGCCCCTGCCCTCTGGTCTTGGGGGCAAAGGTCCCATGTCTGGGCCTGGGAGAGGCAGCCCGGCCCTCAGGAGGCTGGGGTTTGGGTGTGGGGCATACAGCAGGCATTAGGGGCTATAGCACATTTCTGCTAAGATTTGGGTGGACACAGGGGCTTGGACCCTGACCCCAGAGCCTGCAGAGCCTGCACACACTCACCCCCTATGAGGACACCTCCCTACAACCACACCCCACCCCCAGGGCAGAAAGTCGTCCAAATCCCTGCCCTGCATCTGCTGAGCCTCCCTGGCCCTAACCTGGGGTAGCTCATGGCTCCAATGCCCCAGGGCTCAAGTCTCAGCCCTGCCCCTTATCTACGCAGAGGTAAGAGAGCCAGCAGCAGAGGAGGAAGGGCCTCGCCCCACACCCAGGCCTGTGCTGTGTGCTCCTCACTGCTGTCCCTGTCCCTAACCCTAACACACACTTGGACCCAGGGCAGAGGTGCTGGCACCAGGGGCCTGAAGGCAAAGAACCGAGGGCAAGAGTAGGGGATGACCCCACATGGCTGGGGTGAAGGGCGGTTGGCAGCCCATGGGTCTCCAAGTCACTGCCAGAGCAGCCTCCCAGCCCCCCGGAGCCACCAGGAGCCAGCTGTGGACAGGCATGTCTGCTGATAGACTCAGGCACCGGCTGGGAAGAGTCCAGGGAGGGTGGGCAGGCGGGTGCAGGAGTGCGCAGTGGCCCGGGCAGGTGGTGAGAGTGGGCAAGCCAGGGGCTGGGCTGGGAGACTGTGGGCCTGGAGTCTGGCTGCCCCTTACTTGGTGCTGTTCTGGGGCATCCGAGGCCATGGCATCACTAGAACCTTGAGGCCTCACACCACCTGGGCTTGGAGGAGGGCCTGGGTTGGCTTCTCAGCCACGTGGCCCGAGTGGAGCGAGCTGGCTACCCTGGGAGCACTTGTGGGGAACTGGGAGAGCGTGGGCGAGTCCCATCTGTGTGCTGGGAAGACCCCAGTGCTGCAAGGACAGGGGTGGGCAGCCCTAACCCTAGCCTGGCTGGGAGGAAGAACTGCAGGTCAGCAAACAGGCCCCACACCCACCCCGAGCTCTCCCCACCGCACACACCAGGACCCTCCCAGTCCCTCCTCCATGAGCAAGTGCTCAGAAAAGCAGGCCACGAAGCACTGCCGGCTACTTAGACTCTTCTGGACTGGGACCCCTACTCGGTTCCCACAGGGCGACACCCAGTCAAGGCTTGCAGGGCCTTGTTGATCTTTTCGGAAGAGGAGGGGAGACCAGTCAGCCAGGTCAGTCTCCAACATAGCCTGACAAGGCTGGACTCGCTCAACAGAGAACTTGGTGTCAGGCAGGGCCCTGGTTTGGCACCTGACGGGAGGCAGCAATGACAGTTGGGGTGGCCGAGCAGGCAGCGTCCCCCGACCCTCCACACCTATGGAAACGGCTGGCCTGAGGGAGAGCCCAGCCTGGCCTTGGTCTCCACCTCCCAGGACCCTCTCAACTCCCTGTGCTACCGGGCTGCGGAGCCAAGGCCAGTCCTCGAGGCTCCCACTGTCCTGAGGGTAACACAGGACACCAGAGAGCACATGGAGAGTTCAGAACATTTCATTCAAAACCAGCCCAGCGGGATCCTTCTGTAGCAGGGCTGTGGGCCACAGGGTGCCTGAGGGCTTGGTGGAGGGCCCCCCATGCCAGCAGCTGGACTGGAGCCACCCCAGGGCTCAGAGTATTGCTTCCAGGCCTGCCTGGCCTCAGGGCTTGGCCCCTCATCTGCTTGGGGAGACTAGTAATGCCCAGGCTTTCTGGGCTATGCCTCAGGATCCCCTGTGGACGGGCTGGGCCGGGGCTGAGGTAGGTCGGCCGCCACAGGCTCACATTACAGCCTCCATATGCAGCATCCTCAGGGCCTCGGAGATCTGCGCGCTGGGGTCCATCTGGCCATACATGCCCACCAGGAAGGCCCGGTGCAGCAGTACAGCCGCGTGCTCTGTGGGGGAGATGGGGCCCCGCACGTCACACTGGCCGTAGTGACCAGACCTTGGGACTTCCAAGAACCAGCTCTCAGGAGACTCTGCGGACTCCCCGAGGGCTGCCAGGGCCCTGGGTGGGGGACTAGTCCTTACCTTGGCACAGGAGGGTGTACTCAGGCAGGTTCCTGAGGGCTGTCTGCACCACCTCAAAATCCTGGCTGCCCAAGCAGTACATGAACGTGGGCAGGAAATCAGCTGCGATGCTGAAAGAGCCAGGCACTTCAGTGGGCACCTCCACCCTGTGCCCACGTCAGGTCCCCACCCAACAGGAAGCCGCCTGGAAGCCTGGCCTGGCCATAGGCGAGTCAACCTGTCACCTGGGTTAGCAGGGCCTGGAGGGTGCTGGGACAGAGGCCGGCGGTGGCGGCAGGGCTGGCCTCACCTGGGGCTGTTCTGGATGGAGCGAAGGGCCAGGCTGAAGGCCAGGTTGCGGCAAGACTCCTCGGCCGAGCTCATCAGCCGCTGCAGGTTGGTCTGACAGGGGGAAAGGTGGGAAGTATGTGACTGGGGGGCCCAGCCCTCATCGAGGCCTCTTCATCCCTTGGTCTCTTGGTCTCAGGATGGTTGACAGCAATGGCAGGGGACTCTAAGCTCCCAACCAGAGGGCAGGACACATGCACCACTGAGCAGTCCCAGCCTGGGGCCCCACCCGAAGCCCAGCCTTAGAGGACTCGCTGGGGCTTAGAGCAGGCACCGTGTGGGGGTGGCGGCCCTGCTGGGGTTCTCCAAGGGAGCGGCTCCTCCCAGCTCTCCCTCAGCCCCACCCAGCTTACTGAGAAGAAGCCCAGGATCTCAGGTCTCCGCCGGGACATCTCATCTATGTCACTCAGAACCTCCAGCAGATCTAACACAGAGAGAGGGCCAGGTCAGAGCTGCAGGGCCCAGGCGGACGTCTGCCCACCCCACCCCAGCCACTCAGAGGGGGCAAGGCCCCAAGCACCACAGGATGGAAAGCACTGGCAAACATGAGGCCAGTGACGCCCTCAGTGGTCACCCTCGCCCAAGCTCTGCAGATGCCCGTCACTGCTCCCACCAAGTGGCCTCTAAGGAGAGCGGCTGACCCCTCATGGTGACCCTCACATCCAGGGTGCTCTGAGTACCAAGTGTCCCTGCCACCCAACCCTATCCAGGCTGCCCAGCCCTGGCTCTTCTCTGAAGGTGGCCACTGGTCCTGCCCACCTGCCTGGCCTCTTCCCGTTGTGCCCCCACCACCTCAGGGGGCTCCTCTGCTTTTTACTGTGAAGCAGAGCAGCCCCCTCCAGCTCCCCTGGGCCCTTGAGTGTCTAAGGCCCTCTCTGGGGGTGCCCCCCACTGTGAGGAATGGCCCACCCACCCATAGCCCAGTGTGGGCCATGCTCACACCAAAATCAGCGCCTAGACAGCTGCCGCCTACAGCCCCAGGGGACCCAAGGTGCCGATCAGGCACTGATCTCGAGTGGGCGAAGCAGGGCCCCAACTCACCCTCCACTGTCTGGCCCCGGGAAAGCCGCTTCATGTAGGGGGCCATTTCGGCCGTGGTCAGAGGGGTGAACAGGGAGACGCTGACCAGGGGCAAGGAGCCGGCAGAGCTCTCCTCTGGAAGACAGTGTCAGTGCTTCGGGAGGGCGGGAGCGGCAGGACGGGCCACACTGAAGCACCAGGGCCTGCCCTCCCCAGAGCACAGTGGCCACCACCCAGGCTCCCAGGATGCGTGTACACAGCAGTGCTCCATAACCGGGATGGAGCCATGGGCTGGAAGCTGCCTTTGGATTGGGCGCAGGCACCTTTGGGAGTCTCCCTGCTGGGCTTCTCGAAATGCAGGCCACAACCCCCTGGGCACAAGGCAGGATGGTCCCTTGGGCCCTGGACCTGGCGTTCTTCCAGCAGCATGGGAGAGACCTGCTGTGGCACTGTATCATCTTCAGGTGGGAGACAGAAACCTAATGCGGCATCCTGTCTCCCTCAGGAGGGGAAAGAGATCAGCTGTGATCTCGTGTCATCGTCAGGCAGGGAAGGACAGGTGTGAAGAGCCAAGGACAAGCCCAGCTCAGCAAAACCAGGGGAGGCTTCCTGGGGAGGGACACCTGGGATAAGCGCTGGTGGGCAGGGGATGTGCCGTGGAGGTGGGGTGATGTGCCTGGGAGGCAAGGTAATGTGCCGGGGAGGCGGGGTGATGTGCTGTGGTGGAGGGTATGGGAGGGTGAGGGATATGCCAGGGCCTGCGGGGTATATGCTGTGGGGAGGGTGGGCGAGGGATCTTCCAGGGGCAGGGCTGGTGTGGCAGGAAAGGGCAATGTGCTGGGATGGGTGTGCTGATGCTCAGTCAGCGCTTAGCCCATGTGAGGTGGGCCAGGGGCCAGCTAGCAAGGTCCCAGGCTCACAAAGCCCCCATTGGGAGCCTCGGATGGCCAGGTCTGACTTTGCAGTCAGGAAAACCAGGCCCTGCAGGACTGTTCCACAGCTGCTTCCGGCAGCCCCCACCAGCCCCCACCAGCTCCACTCACCCTCGCCCTCCTCATCCAGGCCTTGGTCGGCCCTCCCGTCTCTGCTGGGCAGGCTGAGCCCTGCGAGGAGGGACTTCAGCATGACCAAGTCACTGTTGTCAAAAGATAGGTCACTGCGGGGAGAAGATACTTTCACTTGGGAGGAAGACTCTAGCAGGCCGAACTAGGGTGGCATGGAAGGGCATGGACCCAGGTGCACAGCAGAGGCTGGGATGCTCACAGGGAGGGCCAGGCAGGGAGGGCCTGTGTGTATGGAATGGGCAGAGAGCTGTAGGGATCGGTTGGGACAGCTCTGGCACAGGAGGGGCAGCCTCTGCACCCTGGGATGAACACCACACTCAGCAGCCCTCCCTGGCCTCAGGAGCTGCAGATCTGACCCAACACGGCCTTGCCGGGAGTGCCCCCCAGAGCCTGGCTGAACCCTTGCTCGAGGCCCGAGGCTTTCCTGGAGCCTGTGGGCACTCACTGGAGTGGGTCGGCATGCTTCTGCAGGAAGGAGACAGCTGCGGGGGCGTTGCAGGTGATGTACTTGTGGATGAACTGCACAAACTTGTTGATGAAAGCAGCCAGGTGGCGGGAGGACTTCCTGTAATTCTGCAAAGGAAAAGCTGTGCCCTGGAGCTGCTCTGCCCTGAGGGGCCAAAACAGAGCCTATGCTCCCATCCTGCTCCCAGAGCCTCAGGCCACAGACCCCACAGCCAACGAGCCCCCTCTGCCAACCACCATGGATGGTGGTCATGGACCTGAGGGTGGCCCAGCGTGGCCTGTCAGGGTGTGGACACGGCTGTCTGGGGCACATGCACAGATAAATGAGGGGCTTGAGGTGGCACAAGGGACATGCAGAAAGCAGCATGGAGGGTCTGGGCTAGGTTTCTCCAGCATGTGGGCCCTCCAGGCACATGACAGGCAGTGGGCAGGGGCTTCCCAGTGTGGGAGCTGGTCCCCAGGGCAGGGGGCCTGGCCTGGGCCCTGGCCGCAGGGGTCTTCCCACTCCCGGGTAGATGATGAGGGCCCAGGCCAGGGCCAAGGGAGTAAAAGGGAGCGTGAGGGCAGACGGCGGGAGCACGCACCAGCAGCAGGCGGATGAAGGACAGCAGGCAGTCCCACAGCGCCCCCTGGTGCTCGCTGCGGAACACGTGCGGCTGCAGCAGCTCCAGCAGGCCCAGCACGTGCAGGAAGCAGCTCAGGTGATTCTGCTGCCGGAACTCCTGGAAGTTGAGGTGGGTGCGGCCATGCAGGAGCGCTGCGATCATGGGCAGGTGCCTGCGGGCGGGTGAGGGCCCAGTCAGCCCTGGCCAGCCGGCTCACATGGCACACATCCCCAGGAGGGCCCCACTGCCTGTGCCCTGGGGGCCAGACTGTGTGCTGCCCCCCTCCACCTGCTCTAGGAAGTGGGGATGAATCACTCCTCTCTGGGGCCCACCCAGGTCCTCCTGCCTGACGCCCAGCCCAGGGCTCTGACCCCTCAGTCAACCTCAACTGCAAACCCTTTGCTATGTGTGTGTTTTTGTTTTTTAATTATTTTTCTTTTTTGTTTCTTCATGGATGGAATGTTTTTGTAATTTTGAAAGGGAGTTTTGCTCTAGTTGCCCAGGTTAGAGAGCCTCAGGCCCCTGGTTAAACCAAAGTCTGGCAAGGGCAGGTTTTCTGGGGCAGTACCTGAGCAGCAGCAGCGGGTGAGCCACTGCCAGCTTCCGGCAGGCCATGCTGGCGTCCGCCCCTCGGTTCTCTGACGCCCGGGTGTCACTGGTGTCCGCAAAGAGCGTGATGAAGCGGTGAATGAGGCCATCCAGCTGCAGGGAAGGGCGCTGTGAGGCCAGGGCCTGCAGGCTCCCCTTGCCTGCCTGCCCACACTCAGCCTGGCTGCCAGCTACGGCCAAGATCCACCTCATGCCATGCCATGCCATGAGCAGAGGAACTGGTTCCTCCATGGCTTCCATGGGCACCTTGGGAGGGCAGGCTGGCTATCCCACAAAGTATAAAAGCAAAGCTCAGCACCAAATGAGGCACTGAACGGGAAACAAGCCAAAACTGCACATCAGCCAAGCACGATGGCTCACACCTGTGATCCCAGCACTTTAAGAGGCCGAGACAGGAAGATCACCAGAGCCCAGGAGTTCAAGACCAGCTTGGGCAACATGGTGAGACCCCCATATCTATTTTAAAAATACAAAAAGATTAACTGGGTGTGGTAGTGCATGCCTGTGGTCCCAGCTACTCAGGAGGCTAAGGTGGGAGGATCACTTGAGCACGGGAGGTTGAAACTGCAGTGAGCTACGATGGTGCCATTACACTCCAGCCTAGGCAACAGACACCCCACCTCAAAACCACCCCCACAAACCTGCTCGTAGAGGGTGATTTCAATGAGTAAAACAACATATAAGTGAAAAATCACAAGCAGAAATGACTAGAAAGTCAGCTGCTCTCTGTGGTACCAGCAGAAGACAGGCTGTAGGTTCCAGCCAGCAAAGGGGGAGCTGGGATGGAAAGCCCAGCCTTCCCCCCAGGGTCACTGTAGAGGAGCAGACCCAGCTGTCCACCAAGACCTGTGCACAAGGCCCCAGCAGCTGTGACTGCTCCAAACTGGACATGACCCCACGTCTACCAGCAGGTGAACGAATAAATTAATGGTGAATCCACACGATGGCAGGCTGCTCGGTGCTCGTGATACCACGAGTCTCCAGGCTGTGCTGGACGGCACCCAGCGAACAGACCACCCGAAGGCTCCCTCGGTAGCAAACTCAATGCAAATAAACCCACAGGGCTGCAGGGCAGCACAGACCGGGAAGGGGCAGGAGGGTTTGTGGCCTCTGCCCTCCCTCCCTGCCCAGCCAGGGCTCCTGGGAGTGCAGCGGGGAGCAGTGGAGTGGTGCCCTCACCTTGCAGATGCTGCTGCCAGTGGCCCCTTCACTGTGCAGCAGGACCTCGGGCACAGGCACCCGAAGCTCTGGCCGCTGCAGGTAGAGCTGCAGGAGGAGGTCTCGGCAGCACCTGCCCAGCACACTGGAAGACAGAGGGGATTCGCTGAGCGGATGGGGCCAGGTGTGACAGCACCCCACCCGGGACTGGGCCTCGACTCTCCTGAGGGCTCACTCCCAGGCAGCATCCAGGGCTGGGGGGCCTGAGCACCTGTCTCCCCGCTGCTGGATGCAGCCTGTCAGGTGGTCCGTCACCTTCCTGACGCTCTCGTCGTCCCCGTGGCAGCAGCTGAGCAGCAAGGGCAGCCGGGACTGGATGAGGCTGCAGGCGGCTGCATCCCCGTCCTGGCTCCGCGTCTCAGCCTCAGCCAGGATCAGCTCCACCAGGCTGATGAGTTCTGGGCCCTGGACTCGCAGCACCAGCTCCTCCCGACGCTTCTGCAATGGGCACCTGCATCAGCCCTGGAGCACCACCCCCTCTCAGGGACGGGCCACCCTTCCAAGACCTGCCTGCGGGGTACGCTGGTCCCGCCCCTGCCAGATGCGAGGAACGTGGATGCAGGCCCAGAGGAAGTCCAGAGAGGCGGAAGGGTCGAACCTGAGGGGAGGCATGGGTTCCACTGAGCATTCAGTGTCTCATCTCTGCATGGGAGACACCCGTCAGAGCTGGCGCTGGGAGAGTTCTGGTGAAGGCCAGTGCACACACAGCCCAGTCGGGGACGAGGAGGTGCCCACCTTTGCTCCCGGCTCTTGCCCAGCAGGACACGGATGCACTGGTGTAGTGTGGGCCAGCTGGACTGGTGTGTGAAGAGGGCCAGGAGGTAGGGGCGGAAAGAGAGTACCTGGGCCTGACCTTTGCCCTGTGGAGGAAGGAAGAAGGCCGGATGGCCTCACCTGGGCCTGTTGAACAGTCACTGTTGAACAGTGTTGACAGACTCAGCTTCCCTGTGGAGCCACTCAGAGCAGAGGCTCAGGGCACTGCTGGTGACACCAGGCCCCATCGTGTGGTGCCGGAGGGTCTCTCCTGGTGCCTGCATAGTGCTTCCCCACCTCTTCCACAGGAGCCATGCCACAGGGCAGAGATGCCCGGGGCTCTGTGCAGCCCTTCTGGTGAAGCTATCCCTCCCCTTTGGGGGATCTGGGGAAACTTGCACCTGCCCTCCCTTCTGCCAGCCATAGCCCCATTCCCTTCGGGAAGATGGAGGCCGGAATGATCTACAGGGTTTGGTGGGGCTGACCCACCTGTCCACCCACCCCATCCCATATCTGGCTGGTCACAGTGCTGGTCCACAGGTGACCATGACCCTGGCCTGGGTTCTGCTGGAGCCAATGGGGGACCCTGCTTTTCCTCTGGGCTGCTACAGGGACACATGGGCTCAGAGCAGGGGGAGCTGCTGGAGCCCTGCAAGGCTCGCCCAGGCCAAGGCTGCGGCACTCTGGGTTCGGAAGAGCCCTTTGCCCGGGGTGGGTCCTGTGCTGAAGCTGGTGCTGCCCACCTTCCTCTGGGAGAAGAGCAGTCTGTGCTGAAGGTCAGGGCAGCTGCTGACCACCTCAGGGTCCAGCATCTCCAGCCAGTCCACCAGGAGGCCCGATGAGGGCCCCAGCCGCACGGCCTCCAGGCTACAGAAGAAAGGAGGCTCAGGGAGGGGCCCATGCTACCCGACCACCTGCCCCAGCCATGTGCAGTGCCCCAGCTCACCTGCCACTGTCGGCGCCTGGCTTCCCTGTAGCCAGGGGCTCCTCCTCCTGCAGCAGCAGGGAACTCACCACCACCACGGGCTTGGAGGCCGGAAACGGGGCAGCAGCATCCGGGGTGGCAGAAAAGAGTGCTCTCAGCAGCTCCTCCAGATGCGGGGACTGCACCTCGATCAGCCCCCGGAGGACTGCACGAGGGACAGAGGGACAGGCAGGTCACTCCCAGGTTGGGGAGGTGCCACCAAGTGGGCGTGGGCCGGTCGGGGGGAGATGTGGGGTGAGTGTGTGTGGGACCCAACAGTGGGGCCCAGCTGGGGCTAGAGAGTGTAGCCAGGACCAGGGCTCACTTTGCTGGGTGCACCAGTGATCGGCGGCACCCCAAGGAGAAAGCTCCAACTCATTCTCAAGAGGCCCCACCCTGGGGCATCTGGGAGGGGACCTCTGTGGGCACTTTCTGGGGACAGTGTTGAACAGTCACTGTCTGTCCCCACTGGGCAGCAAGAAGGAGCCTCAGGCTTGGGTCTTCCTAGGGCCCCTGTGGCCCAAGGGGACTGGGCCAGGAAGGTACCTTTGCTGATAAGCTCTGGCTCCATGCTGCACTGCTCCCCAGACCTTAGGGTGGCGATGACCGCACGGATGGTGGAGCTGATCACCTCTGGGTCCTGATGGAAGGCCAGGGCCTCCGCCAGGCGCAGGAGCCCCCCTCGCACTGTAGGAAGACTCTGTCAGCGCCCCAAGGCTCCAGCACTCACCCCTCTCAGTGTGCCCCATCCTGGGAGGCCCAAGGTGGCCATGCCTCATGCCACTCCCGAGGCCTTGGGGGGCCAGGCCACTTGGCCACTCCATGTGCCTCCGTCTAATGCCCCTGGCAACCTGCCAGCCAGGCAGGGTACTCACCATCACTGAGCCTGCACCCGGCTGAGGCCTGACTGGCAAGCAGCCTGAGCTGTGCCCGCAGGGGCCCATCCTCCACACCGGGGCTGTCCAGCCACTGCAGCATCTGCAGGAGCACCTTCAAGAAGAGTGAGGAGAAGCCAGTGTCCTGTGGCACACAGCACTGTGGGGACAAAGCGGCACGTGGCTACCCTGGCAGACGACAGCTGACCCCTGCCACTCACCATCCTCAGAGGACATGGGGACCCAGCACTTAAGGCCCAGAGCAGGGGCAACGAGGCTGCTGGGACCTGCCATGACCAGCACCTGCGGCTCAGGCCAACCTCATCCCTCCTGCTGCCTGAAATGGTGCCTCCCCTGCATGGGCCCAGACAACCTCGAAAAGACCCTTTCGAAACCCCCCAGCTGGTGAGGGCTCCCATATGGCTCAGGAGAAGAAATTAACACAGACAAACAAGTAAAACAGTCCCAAGCAGACACCAACAGATGGGGAAAGCAAGGAAGGAGCAGCAAGCCTGGGTGGTGGCATGTGAACAGGCAGAAGCTGTGCCACCCCCACCTCCCGATCTGGGGGAATGCTCACTGAAAAAAAGTGGACCATGCCCCCGCTCCCTGGGGCCCTGTCCTTTTTCACTTAGAAATTGAGACCCGAGACCCACAGAGAAGCAGTCGCAGAACATCCAGGCCATCCTGCAGGAGGCCGAGTCCTCACCGACCTCCCTCCTTTCACCTCCCACCCGAGGGGCTCTGGGTACCTGGTACTGGGAAAGCTGGCGCATCAGCGGGCAGGCCAGGAAGTGGCTGTGGTGCATGGACATCACCAGGGCACCACCGTGTGGGGAGCTGAGCAAGGTGGCGAGGGCCTGCAGGACTCGCACCGTGATGCCCGGCACCTCAGGGTTGCCCTGGACAACTTGGGCCAGCTCCTGACCCAGGGCCTGCTGCAGGGCGAGCACCATGGGGCGGGGACTGGAGCTCTGCCACCGAGGGTCTGGGCCGAGTGGGAAGATCTGGAACAGGAGAGGGTGGTGTCAAGGGGAGGCAGAAGGGGAGGGGGGGGAGAGGGAGTGGGCAGAGATGCTAAGTGCCTGATGCAGCTCCATGCCAGAACACCATCCCATTGTGTCCCTGTTCATTTGTGGCCCCCACCTTGTGGCCTGAGGAGCACAGGGCCATTAAGACCTGTGATGGGGAATGGTAAGGGACCCCAACACCCAGGAGCTGCCCCATAGGATGAAGGTATCCAGAGCATGCCCAGGGCCCACCAGGCTCCATCAGGATCCCCAGCTACAGCAGCAAGACCTCGGGCAAGCCCTGCAACCTCAGCTTCTGCATCAAACCGGGTGCCCCACAGAGGGATGTGCAAGGATGGCAGGGAGGGTGTGGGGTGACCCCCTTCCCCAATGTTGGCCTGAGCCTCCCTCTGAGAGCACGGGGGTAATACGTAAAGCAGTGTGCCAGTGTCTGGCAGTCCCCCGTGTAAAGGCCACTGTGCGTGCAAGACAACAGGGGAGGCTGCACCCAGGAAGAGGGGCTGCAGATGGAGACCTAGGAGCAGCGGCATCACTACCTGGAGGAACATGCCAGCCAGGTCGTCCTCAGGGCCCAGCACGCGGAGCTGGGTCCCTGCCCGAATCCGGCCCTGGCCCGAGGGCTGCTCGGGGCTGCTCTTTGGTTTGGGTGCCTCTGTGCTCTCTGCAGAGACAGGAGAACCGTCAGTGGCTGGACACTTTCTGACCGGATTTCAGTGGTGGGAGCTTCGCAAGCCATGGCCAGCCCTGCCCAGGGACCGTTACCCAGACCTGGGGGCTGTGCTCCCCAAGGACCCTGGGTCTCGCTCAGGACCACAGGGATCTCAGACTCTGAATTGGAACTCACCAGCTGGCCAGAGACAAACGCTGACCAAAGATGGGCTGAGAACCTCTGTGGAAGCCCATCAGGTTGGTATCCGCAAGTGAGCACTGCCCCCTCCCCAGGCTGGGTCTCTGTGCAGACCCCACCCCTCCCCAGTACCTCGGCGGGGCGGCAAGGAGGCTGTGAGCAGGGAGTGGAAAGTCTGGCCTCCGGAGGCGCCTCGCTCATGCTGGACCTCCACCAGGTGGGCCATGTAATCTGCAGACAGCAGCAGGGTCACGCCTGGGCATGGCCAGGGGCCAGGGAGCAAGTCCTTCCCCCTCCACAGAAACCAGAGCTGGGGATGCCCCCACTAACACTTCCCAAGGACTTCTGAAGCTGAGAGGACTCAGTCGGCCTTGAGAGCCCCAAAATCTCCCTCTAAGCTCCAAACAGCCCGAGTGGGTGCCTGGCCTGGGGTTGGGGCAGGCCCAGGGCTTGGCTCTCTCCTGACTATGCCAGCCTCATCAACCTACCACTCTAAGCCTGCCCATGTGTACCATCCATGCCCACCTGACCTCGGATCACCCACCCTGCTCTGGGCCCACCCAGGCCCTAAAGCACCTGGCCAGGCTGAGGCTGGCACCAGGTGTGCAACCCCACCCCGCAGGTCCCCGGCATCTTACTCTTGTCCATGATGTTCTGCTCCAGCGTCTGGGGGTCATGGGCCACTGCCTGGTCCAGGAACTGGAGGAGTTTGCTCATGCTGGACACGGGGATGCCGAAGGACTGCACAAACAGCAGCAGCTGCTGCGGCTCCAGGTCCTGCAGGGCTGAGGGTACACGTGCTCAGTGATGCCACCCAAGACCCTGGGCCACATGGGCTTGGTTGCCCCAGCTAGGGCTGCATGCACCTGGTGGCCCCACTCAAGACCTGGGGCATTGTATACTTGGTGGCCCCACCCAACACCTGGGGCCGCAGAAGGGGGCAGCAGCTTGGGACCACCTTGGGCCCTGAATGGCAGCTCGGGGGTGGGGTGGACGCTTAGGAGGGTGTATGGTGGCATGGAGCAGCGCACCTCCCTGCTGCACGCAGGCTACTGTGGCTGTCTCCTCTCTAGGCATACAGGAGCCTAGACCCCTTGGCGGTCGTGGGCCTCCTGAGCCAGCCCCACTCACTCACCAAGCCATCCACCATGTCCCCTCACTGTGCCTAGGCACCAGCCCTACTGACCTGTGCCGGCCCAGGCCCCTTGCTCAGCCCTTGCTGGGACCCCCTTCAAGGACCAACTCAGAGGCCCCACCACTTCCCCTCCTCCCCTCCAACCCCAGACCACTTTCTCTTCTTTCCGTCGACGACCTGTTTCTCACTCCAGGTCCCTGAGCCTGACAGTAGGCCCTATCGGACGAGCAAGCACAGGCCGCCTTAGGTCTCCCAGGGCCCAGCACAGCCCTGTGTGGCCAGGACATATGATCTGCAGGATCCCGAGGCCACCCAGCTGACCCCTTCCTCTGCTATGGCTGGAGGTCGCTCCACGAGGAGCAGGCAAGGCGCCTAGGACCCCCGAGTCAGCAGCCCCCGCCCGAGCCCAGCCTGGCCATACTGGTATCCACCAGGTGGGGAACCTCAGAGCGTAGGAGCAGGTGAGAGGCCTGGGACCCCTAAGTCAGCAGCCCCCACCCGAGCCCAGCCTGGCCGTACCGGCGTCCACCAGGCGGAGCACCTCAGAGCGGATCATGCGCAGCTTCAGCCAGTCAGGCAGCAGCAGCGCCTCCTCTGAGGTGTCCACCAGGAAGGCGGTGGGTAGTGGCTTCTTCTCCGGAAACCAGATGTCCAGCAGTGCCTGGAACTCGCTGTCGTCAGCTTCAGGAAAGGCAACAGGTGAGCAGCCTTCAGACCCACCAGGAGCCCAGCCCCAAGCACAGCTAGTGCCAAGGCTAGAAGCACCTCCTCTCCCAAGGGGGACTCTGAGGCTTGGGAGGAGCAGGGGAGGCTCCCGTGCTAGGTGAGCACTTGCTACATGCAGATGTTTTGTGTTAAGAGAACACAGACGCTACAAGAGGGCAGGTGGCGTCACTGCCATTTTGTCTTGGCCAAGTGACATGTGTGTGTCCCTGCCCAGTCCCTGCCCTTGGAGCTCTACTTGGCTGAACTAGGTCCTGTCCAGCTGTCTGGCTCCACAAAACCAATGGAAAACCCCACAGGCCCAGGGACCACCTTCCCCTGCTGCCCTTCCCAAGGGTGATGCCTGTGACCATATCTGCCTTCCAACAGGGGTCACCACACTGGCACAGCCCATCCACGTCCACCTGACTCCCAGCAAGGGGGTTCCAGCCCCTCACCCCACTGGCAGACACAATGGGGTGATGTGGGAGCAGTTCCTGGTGTCATCCAGGAGCAAAGGGAAGGCTACATCCGCAGAGGGCATGGCCAGTGGGAGCCAGTTTCCAAACACTGTGCTGGCCGGAGCATCCTCAGGGCCACATGCCTGGGCCCTGTGGAGAGAACCCGCGTGCCTGGCAGCCTCATGTTGCACCTCCACCCAGTGAAACCCTGAGTTTGCACCTCCTGGGCACCACAGGCCTGCACAGCTGGGCTGGGGCAGTGAGGACTCTGGCCCCCGACTGCACCAGGCCCTTCAGCTCAGGGCTCTACAGGCCGGGAGGTCCCGCCACAGGGGGCTCTCCTGAGCTTCCACCAAGTGCTCTGACACGAGGGACAGACTGCAACATCCACTTTAGGAGAGAAGACGGGCACAGGGTCCCTAGGGGGCTTCCCACCCAGAAGCAAAGCAAGGAGGCAGAAGCTGCTGGGTGTGGTCAGGGCCGTGGCCTGCCTGGCATGAAGCTGCCCCTCCCAGCACCCATGCAGCTCACCTCGCGGCGGGCCCAGCGTCAGCAGGATGACCATGGCGTGGACCACGAGGATGTGCATGGTGGCCGTCTCCCCGCTGCTCCAGCGCAGAAAGACCTGGTCCTGAGACTCTGACTGTGGGAAAGGAGGGGGAGTCGGGGCCATAAGGTTCGGGGGCCCTGGGCTGGCGCTGAGGGCACCAAGCTGGCACCAAAAGCCCTGTGCAGCCTCACCCAGCTGTAGACCTCCTCGCCCTCCTTGCTCTGGCGCATGCGCCTCACATAGCGAGAGAAGATGGACAGCAGGGCGCTCAGCACGGCGTCCGAGGCAGCACTTGGGGAGAGCTTCGAGAAGAGGTGGGACATGATGGTGGAACGCTCCACGACCAGCCGGGCCACGTCCTGGTGTGTGGACAGGGGGGCTGTCAGAGGCTCTGAGACAGCTCTGCTCTCCGGCCAGCCAGGGCAGCCTCATTGCTGGCATGCCCCCTCTGGGATCCTAAGCAGGGCCCCGGCACCGCAGACCCCCGCTCAGCCACAGGCTGCCAGAGAAGATGACCAGAGACCCTCACTCAGCTGCAGGCCGCTAGGAAAGATGACCAGGGCTTGGTCAGACTCTCCAGGGAGGACGCGGCTCTCACGGCCAGGACAGTGACTGGGCCCTGAAAGCAGACGCAGCCACCGTCTATTCACCCATTGCTCATGCCGCAAGGACTCGGGCCACGAACTTTCACTAGATCACAGCGCAGGTTGGGGACAAGACGACAGTAGTGCAAAGTGAGAAGCACAGTGAAGGACAGCACCCAGGAGAGAAGACTGGAAGCTGTGGGTTCACATGGCCCTCAGTGCCGTGTGTGAGGCAGAGATGTTGACAGCAGGCGGGTGCCCAGCCACCTGAGCCCATAGCTCAAACCCTCCTGGCACGGGGAGGGGACTGATGGCTCAGACTCCACCCGGCTATGACCAAGGCACCCTCACTCCCATGGCTTCGCACCCTGAGGGTCTGGGGAGAAAGACTCCAGGGAGAAAGGCTCCAGGGAGTGAGTGGTGACTAAAGAAGGGGCACAGGTGGCCACAGGGGCACAGAGGCCCCAGCACAGCAGTCATGACAGCCCTCCCACCTTCAACACCTCCCTGTGGCCCAAGAAGCTGCCAGCCCAGGGCACCGCACTGCTGTCCCTGCCCCCTTCCCCAGGATGGGGTCTCTGTGCTGTCCCTGCCCCTTCCCCAGGGTAGGGTCTCTGTGCTGCCCCTGTCCCCTCCCTAGGGCTGGGTGGCTGTGCTGGCGCTGTCTGCTCCCCAGGGCCACACTGCTGGCTAGTCCCATCCCCTCCCCAGGGCCGCAATGCTGGCTGGCCCCACCGCCTCACCAGAGCCAGGTCACTGTGCTGGGCCTGCTCCTCCACAGGCGTGTGCTGGGACAGGTAGATCAGATAAGCACTGATGGTCTGGGGGTCAGTCTCCATGTGGATTGCCTGGAGGGAAGAGCAGTCTGAGCGGTGCCAGGACAGGGCCATGACCCTCTCGTTCCTCCCCACTCCCCGTTGGCCCCCAGCCGGTGCTCTCTTGTTCCTCCGCCCGAGGCCTCTCACCTGCTGCAGGGCCAGGGCTGTGGTGCTCCTGACGCTATCAAACAGAGGCAGGCGGGGCAGGTCACGCAGCAGCCACTGGTAGCCCTGCAGCACATCAGTTTCCCCCAAGTCCTCCTCCATGGGGGGCTCCTTCTCCTCCCCATCCCGCAGGCTGCCTTCCGAAAGCACCAGCGACAAACCCTGCAGTAGACACACGTGAGCTGGGCTGGTTTGCTGCAGAACGGGCAAGGTCTTATCCAAGCCCAGGAGCACATGTGTGGTGTCCTCAGAGCCCCAAGGAGAAGGTGGCGCTTGCTTCCTAGGGGATAGGCCACAGGTAAAAGGGAAAAAGGAGACCAGGCTCTTTCTGTAAAACGTTCTGTTCAAGTTCATGAAGTCACTCTGGACCCTCTTCTGTCACCAGCAGGAAAGCACGGGGCAGGCGGCAGCGCCCCCTTCACATTTCACTAGTGCATCCCTCCTATATGGGGAAACTACTTAGAATACAGTCGGCTGCACTGAACACTCATTTTCACTTTATTTTATTTTTCAAGACAGGGTCTCACTCTGTCGCCCAGGCTAGAGTGCAGTGGTTTGATCACAGTTCCCTGCAGCCTCAACCTCCTGGGCTCAAGGGATTCTCCCACCTCAGCCTCCCAAGTGGCTGGGACCACACTTGGAACACCAGGTTCATGCTGCCACACCTGGCTAATTTTTTTCATCTTTTATTTTTTGTAGAGATGGAGTATCATTATGTTGCCCAGGCTGGTCTCAAACTCTTGGGCTCAAGTGATCCTCTGACCTCAGCTTCCCCAGTAGCTGGGACCACAGGCACACACTATCACACCCAGCTAATTTTTAGTTTTTGTAGAGATGGGGGTCTCCCTTTGTTGCCCAGGCTGGTCTCAAACTCCTGGATTCAAGTGATCCTCCCACCTTGGCCTCTCAAATTGATGGGAGGACAGCAGCAAACCACTGCACCTGGCCTACTCAATTTATTTTATTTATTTATTTAGAGATGGAGTTTTGCTCTTGTTGCCCAGGCTGGAGTGCAATGGCGCTATCTCAGCTCACTGCAACCTCCACCTCCTGGGTACAAGCAAGTCTCGTGCCTCAGCCTCCCGAGTAGCTGGGCCCAAGGCCACCATGCCCAGCTAATTTTCGTATTTTCAGTAAAGATGGGGTTTCACCATGTTAGCCAGGCTGATCTTGAACTCCCGACCTCAGGCAATCCACCTGCCTCAGCCTCCCAAAGTGCTGGGAATATAGGTGTGAGCCCCCACACCTGGCCCCAGTCCACTCATTTTAGACATGAAGAGTGTGCTCAGGGGGCCCCACCGCAGCCTCACCTTCATGGCCAGCACACGGGAGGCCACCTGGGAGGAGCCAAGGCGCCTCAGGAAGTAGTCCAGCACCTCACATGTGGTCTGCTCGTCGGCCTTCGGGCCCAAGAGCAGGTCCTGCAGGCGGCCCAGCAGCTGCCGCTGCTTCTGCTGCCTCTGTGGGTATAAAGGGACTCTCAGGAGTGCAGGTGGCAGGAAGGGCAGGTGGGATGAGTGGTGTGGGGTGGTGGGCAGCCCTGACCTGCCGCTTCTTGGCCTTCTGCTCCTTGCTCTCACTCTCGTCGTCCTCCTCCCCAGAGGCAGCATCATCCACAGCGTCATGCAACAGGAATTCACACAGGCATTGCACGGGCAGCACGTCCAGGGAGCCCTCGCTGGACTGCACCAGGTCGGCCAGCCAGGGCATGGACTGCGAGGAGGCCTGGGCAGGCAATGGTGACCCCCGCTCAGCACCTTCTGGACCCAACACCTGCTGCCAGGCCCCCTGGTAACTGTGCAGCTGGGGAGGGTCACAGGCAGCAGCCAGCTCATGGACCCCACACCCAGGTGTGCCCTGCCCCCTTCCGGCCACCAAGGCCTCTGGAAGGTTCCAGGCCTCCCGAGACCACCATCTCTACCTCCCAGAGCCGTAGCTCTCACCTGCCGCTGGATGATATGGAGGAGGAAGTCTGGGTTTCGGCTCCGGCACAAGAGGTGCCCGAGGCGGAGGGACTGGTTGAGGCTTTTCACTTGATCCAGGATGTGAGGCGGAGGCCTCCGGGGTGGTCCCCTGAAGGTCACAGAGGATGTGATACATCAGCACACCCAGAGCAGATCACCTCCCAGGAACCACAGCAAAGGTAGCACTCCTTCCTCCCACCCCTGCTTCTGAGGGGCAGCTGACAGCCCACAATGGGCAACCAGTCCTGACCTCACCTCAATGTGCCCAAGGCCTGGCCCAACAGCAGTAAGCCAGGGACATGGGGAAGGGGATCCATGGGCCTTTTAGAGTCTGCCGGTCTGCTCTGCCAGCTTCTTCAGCCTCTGTCCCACCCACACCAACCACCCACCGGTCCTGACGGCAGGCGTGGGGAGGGGGCTGCTTGGGCTTCATACTGGGGGTCCAGGCTGGTGAGCTGCGACAGGAGGAGGCTGCTGCTCTCAGTGATGGTCTGCTTGGTGGATGCGGCTGCCAGGTGCCCCTCGAAGGCCAGGATCTCCTGCTTTTCCCGCTGAGCGGTCTGCAGCTCACGGTTCATCATCTCTGTCCGGGTCTCCTCATCCGTCAGGGTGCAAGGCGGGTAGGAGTAGTTGCTGCGGCCAGACGGGGTAGTGTGTCACCCTGCCCCATAAAAGGCTTGCTCCCAGTGGACCATGCTCAGGTCAAAGAGGGTCAAAACCGATATGGCCGCGGCTGCCTGGTGCACAGCACAGTCAGGAGCACAGGGCGCCCAGGCCATCTACAATGCTGTCAGAGCTGAGACCATGGAGAGAAGCCACACTGCTGCCCAGAGGCCCAGCCAGCGACTGCCTCATCATCCACAGGCAGCACGCCTGCCCTCACCAGAGCCACCAAGCCCAGAGGCGTCAGAGCCAGGCCTCCTCCCTTTCCATGCAACCCACGCTTGGAGCACAGCCCAGCATGACAGCCAGGCAGGCTCTGCCCACCCCATTCAGGGACAGACCTGCAGGGCAGACTCTGCCTCCAGAAGTACATGTGGCTTTCACATGTTCCAAAACCCAACTCCCCATGGCTGCTCTCATCTGAGCCCTGTTCCCAAGGCCCCAAAGTCAGCCTGCTCCTTCAGAGGTGGGAGGGGAGCAGCCAGGCCTCCCATCTCAGGACATACATACACCGCTCCCTGCAATGTACAGGCAGACATGCCCAGTCCCCACAATACCAGGGCCACACACACTCCCTGTCCCTACGATGTCACAGCCTCAGGTGCCACTTCACCTCAGTCACTGCCCTTGGTATGGTGCTGTCACTGGTGAGATAGGATGCTGGCCCCAGAGCTCATCGGCCCTCGCCCTCTCTGAACACCAATGCTGCCATGGTGGTGAGCCCTGGGCATCTCCTAGGCAGGCTGTGCTAACTCTCATCCCACCTGCACTGAACTGTTCCTGAGGCTCACCTACTGCTGATCCCACACAGGGTCACACTGGGTCCTGTTAAAGCCCCCTGGCCCACTAGGCCTGGCTCCATCCTGTCCAGCCCATCTCTGGCCCAATTCTCTTGCCATGTCCTCCAGCATCACACCACCCCCGGCCTGCCCAGTCCCCACTCCAGTCGGCAGCATGCTCACTGCCCAGGAGGAGCTGGGATGGCCTGTGGACCTCCCTGCTGGCCTCTGTGACGCTGCCTCAATCCACACCCCCTCTCCCAGCAAGGGAAAGAGAAGAGAGCACAGTGCACCAGGCTTAGGTCCAGGAGCTCAGGTCCATGAGTTCAACAGAAGCCAGACGCAGCGTGGCCCAGGAGACAGCAGGGAACACAGAGCGAGGCAGGAGACAGCCCCAGCAGAACGAGACCAGGCCCTGGGCACCTGGCCCCGGTCCCACCAAGGAGACTGTGGACTCACTTGGTCATCACCATCTCCATGAGCATCTTCAGGGTCGGGTACTCCTCCCATGCAGCCAGGCCTAGGGAACCAGAGGGTGCACAGAGCTAGGCAGGCTCCCCTGGGCACCAGGTAGCCCCCCACCCCAGGCATGTGACCCCACCCTCTCCCAGCTCCTCCTCTTGTCCCCAGCTAGGCTCATCCCAAGTTCCAACAGACAAACAGCCCCAAAAGCAAAAGGACCAGCAGGGCCAAGGGCATGCAGACCAGCCAGCAGGGGCTCACCGATGTTCTCCGGGTTGAACGCGGCAACGACCAGCAGGAGGGGCCAGGCCTTCCAGTAGAGGGTGGAGATGGCGAGGTTTGGAGGCTGGTACCTGGAAGGCAGGAGCGCCCTGACTCAGGACCGGCACACCAAGCTCAGCACCAAGAATCAGCCAGGCCAGACGCTGGGGAGTGGGGGCAGGGATGGTGCTGCCTCCCAGCTCCTCCCGAGACTGCCCTCCAGTGACATCTGTCCAGGCACATGTGTGAGTCCAGCTCTGGGCTCCCTGCCCAGGCCCAGACTCCAGCTCCATCCTTACCTTTGTAAGTCTCAGTTTCTCAGCTATAAAACAGGAGCGGTAGTGATACATAATAAATGCTCATTATGTGTCAATGATTCTTGTCCTCTACTTGTCCTGGGGTAACTAGACACCACCCCTAGGAACCATTGAGATGGAATTGTAATGATATTATTAAGTGAAAGCACAGGTAGGTCTCTCAGGTGAGGAAACGGATCCTAGCTACCAGGAGGACACTGCCTGGAGCCACGTGCAGAAGCTCTCGATTGGGAAAGACCACCCCAGAAATCGGAGTGGGCAGCGGCTGCCGAAGGAGAGACAGGCAGAAGAAGCCCCCAACCGCGGCATCAGAGGGCACACAAGGCTCGGGTCCAGCACGGGATTACGAGGCTCATCCAATCAAAATTCCAAAACACTGCTGAAAGAATGACAGCTTTGGATAAACGGAAACCTGCCAACGTGCACAGATCGCAGGGTATGGTCTTGCTGACATGGTGGCACTCCCCAGACTGACCCATGGATTCCACATTGTCCCCGCAACATCCCAGGCAGCTGTTTTGCAGACAGTGACAAGCTGACCCTGAAATTCACATGGAAATGCAAGACCCAGAACAGCCAAAACAATCTCGGCAAAGAACAAAGTTGGAAAACGCACTTCCCAATTTTAAAACTCAGCAGTTATAGATGACGGACACGCAGATGGACAGGATGGAGCTGAGTCGAGAGTCCACCCTCTCGCCTACACACAAGAGTCCATAGGTCAACCCTCACACTTAGGCACAAGAGACTACTGATAGGGCGCCAGGATAGCCCAAGAAGCAGGAAAGCCCTCTCAACAATGGTGCTGCGACAACCAGAAACAACACCAAACACAAAGTGGAGGACTGACTCCAGAGACAGCGAGCACCAAACTCTAACATTCCCAGGAGAAAGCAGTAGGAGGGCTTTGGGAGCCTAGACCAGCCAGCAGCATCCTAGGTACGACATCAAAGAACACACAGCAGCAGCAGCTTGAAGATTATCAGGCCTCCCGAAAGGTAAGCTCTGTGCTGCCCATGCGGGTCCACAGAATGGAAGTGAGGGTCCGGAACAACCCACATGGGTGTGACTTCTGACACGGATCCAAGAAAACCTCATCAGGGAAAGACAGGCTTTCAACATGGTGCCGGGACAGCTGGATGTCCACCCACGGATGAAGCTAGATCCCGGCCTCACACCATTAAAAAAACTTAACAATGGATCAAAGACCCTAATGTAAGAGCTAGGACTCTAAAACCCTCAATAGAAAACATAAAATTCAATCTCTGTGACCCTGGAATAGGTGATCCTAGCTACCAGAAAGACACTGCCTGGAGCCACATGCAGAAGCTGTCGATTAGGAAAAACCACCCCAGAAATCAGAGTGGGCAGCGGCTGCCGAAGGTGATGGTTTCTTAAATAGGACACAAAAGGACAGAAACCAAAGAAAAATAGATAAATTGCACTTGCTCAAAATTGAAAACTTCTGACCAGGGGCAGTGGCTCATCACACCTGTAACCCCAACACTTTAAGAGGCCAAGGCAGGAGGACTGCTTGAGCCCAGGGATTTGAAAACAATCTGGGCAATAAAGTGAGGTCCCATCTCTGCAAGTACTAAAAATATTAGCTGGGCGTAGGGGCATATGCCTGTAGTCCCAGCTACACAGGAGGCTGAGGCAGGAGGATCACTTGAGCCAGGGAGGTTGAGGCTGCAGTAAGCCATGACTGTGCCATGCACTCCAGTCTGGGTGACAGAGCGAGACTCCGTTCCTCACGAAAAAGAAAAATGCAAACCGAAACCAACATGTGATACCACCTCACCCCAGCAGGATGGCTCTGCTGAGAAACAGGGGCCATGAGTATGGGCAAGGATGGAGACCTGGAACCCTAGCACAGCACTGGGGATGTAAGCAGGGACTCATGGTGGGACAGTCACTGGGGAGGGTCTGACAGAGCCTCAGTTAAACACATGGCCCAGCAACCCCACTCCTAGCCACCTACTCAAGAGAACTGAAGACACGTCCACACTGACTTGGACACACACCCTCACAGCAGCACTGTCTGTCAGAAGGGGAGCAGGTGAAGTAGACGTGCTCTGTCCCCACAGTGGGGCACCCATGCTGCCTCACGCTACAGCACAGGTGACCCTAGAAACAGCATGCCCCGGGAAGGATGCAGGTCGCAGAAGACCATGCCCTGTAGGATGCTATTTACAGAAAACACCCACAAGGGCCACCCTACAGAATGTGACAGCAGGTGAGGCTGCTGTGGGTTGAGAGGGAGGAATGCAGAGTGACAACTGGTGGGAACAAGGTTTCTTTGGGACCAGATAAGCCTCGATAGTTAAATTACAATGACAGTTGTACAACCTGTGAACATCCTAAAAACACTGAATTACAGACTTTAGATGAAATACATATGAACTGTCTCTCAATAAAGCCGTGAAATACACAGTATAAACTCACTGTTGTGTAAAAAATAAAGCATGCTCATGTTAAACACGGGGGAAAAAAGTCTGACTGAGTTGGAGACACCGAGGAAGACAAGGGGAAACGGCTCACTCGAACCCAGGTAACAGTGGCCGAGCTGGTCAAGGCCCGCAATGGCCTCACTGGTCTCTGAGAACAGGCCACGAGCGGTCCTGTGGGGAGCCGGGTGTGGGCTTACCCGGGCGGGAGCTGGATGTTCTCAGGGTGATGGTAGGTGCACAGGTTCAGAACGGCGTCGATCAGCTGGGTCCTCCCCACCTTCAGCACCTCCACATCTAAGACCAAGAGCGACACAGGAGTTCTGGGACCACTCACAGACCATCAGGCACAGGCAGTGAGGGGACACGGCCCTGCCTAGGCAGTGTCAGGGTGGGGCAGGGGATGCCTTGGGATGGGGCCTGAGCAGCAGAGCTGGGGGAAGCACAGCTTCTCATTGGGAAATGGGGCACTTTGCTCTCGGGGGCACTTGAGCTGGGTTTAGAGAGCAGGCAGATGGCCAAGGGAGACTAGGGAGGTGAAGAGGGGGGGACCTGCAAGGCCTCAGGGCAGAGTGTGACCCACAGACACAGGCATGCTGAGTTTACAATCACTCTACTGGGCTCCTAAAGGGGGGGACAGACAGGAAATCCAGTCGTGGCCAAATCACACTGAGAATGTGCCAGTTCTAGGACAAACTCCAAAAACAGGTAGTGACTGCATCACTGCCAAAGCCACGCTCGCCTCTGAATTCTCAACGGCCGGATGAGGAGAAGGCACAGGACCCAGCTGAAGTGTAGCTTTGCAGAACACCCGAGGTGTGGGCCAGTGCCAGGGTTCTGCAGGGGTGAGGGCAGCAGAGCCCAGCGCAGGCACCAACCCCTAGAGAAGCCTTACCGTCCGCCTGCACGGCAGCGGCCCGCTTCACCAGGTGGTCGGCGAGCTCCATGGCATCTGCGGGCCCGAGTGGGAGCTCCCGGGACAGCCCAATGACCAGGATGCGCATGAGTGTGTCTTCCAGGATGGGCACCTCCGAGCAGAGGCGCAGGAAGAAGCTGTGGGGTGGTGGAGGCGTGACTTGGTGCAGGCTGCCCACACCTACAAGACCCGAGGGGCCGAGGACAGGCCAGCCTTTCCCCCACAGAGCCCACGGGCTGGCAGCAGAGGGCTGCTGCTGCCTCCCATGAGCCTGTCGCCTTCACTCTCAGCCACCCTTGGCAGGACAGGAGCCCTGGCTCTAGGTCTTGCCTAGGCAGGGAGAGAAGGGGAGGCCACCCCCGCCTTAGACCTTCTGGCCTACACACAGTCACTGGTTCCTACAGCTACCACAGGGGAGGCTCTGCCACCCCACAGAGGCCTCAAGATGGTTCTTGCCCTCAAGGAGCTGGGAGCCAGGTGGCAGACATGGAGCCTACACCTGCAAAACCTAACTGAGAAGGTTGCAGCGAAGGTGAGCAGAGTGCCCAGGGCATGATGGGTGGAATGGACCAACAGGAGTCCCAAGCGGGGGTGGAAAGGAGCGTGGGCCAAGAACCTGTGGGGTCACCCATGAGGCTTTAAGGGGGTCAGAGCCATGAGGCCAGCTGGCTGAGGAAGGACAGTGTGAGGCTGTCTGGAGGGAAACAGGGGCAGATGGTGCATTTGGGACCGTGTGGAGGGTGGGGTGCCTATGGATACCCTGAGAGGAATTTGGGAGAGGCTGCGGCCGGGGCCTGGAGTCCTGTGAACACATGTGGCAGTGGAATCCCTGGAGGGGCGCAGGGACACCAGCATGGGAGTGGGAGAAGGGTGGTACCCAGGGTTGTGGAGGAGGGACAGGATGGTAATTTGAGTATGAGAACAGCAGTCCACCACTCACTGGCTCTTCCTGCTGCAGCTAGCCCAGCCCCACCCAGCAACCCCCCCAGTGCAGCCCTCCTGGAGCCCCCCCAGCCTGCCCAGCACTCATGCCAGCCCTCCCAGCATGCAGGAGCCCCAGGCGCACTCACTTTCGGTCACTCTCAGGTGGCCAGTTGTCCCACTTGTAGTAGGTCTCCGGCTGCTCTGTGAAGAGCACCTTGTGCAGGCTGGGGCAGGTAGAGAAGAGTCATCAGTCACGACATGGGTGCTCAGGGATGAAAGGGACCCCTCTCCCACAGGCCCAAGTGGTCAGAGGCTGGGCTGCCTGGTGCCCAAAGTCAGCACCTCTTCATGGCACCACCAGAGAACCCAGGGATCATTCACAGGACTGCCAGGCTGGACAGTGACAAAATCCTTTACAAAATCGCTGCAGAAAAATGCGGCCCCAGCCTGATAGCCCTACCCTCACCAAGGCAAAGGCCCCACAGGAGGTTTTAATGCACACAGGCTGCTGCTGTCCACAGGAATGGGACAGGCTTCTGTGAGGGGCCCTGGCTGATCCCAGCTCAGTGGGCTGTGGGGGCCCGGGCCGCACCAGTGCACGTAGTCTTTGGGGGCGAGCTTGCTGATGGAGGGGACCACAGTGTGGAGCCACCAGACAGCGTCCCGCTGGATGGCGGCGATCTGGTTCTGGAACGAGCGCAGCACTTCCAGATCTGAAACAGACACGCAGCTTAGGGCCGAAGACGTGGGCTGTGAGGGGCTACAGACACCCCTCGGGGTCCAGTTCAAGACTGGCACGAGGGAGGGGGTAACTCGGGGCATCCCCAGCTTCTGCACCATTCCCGGCTGGAGTAACACCCTGATGAGCGCATGGAGTGACCCTGATGAGCACATGGGTGACTAGAATCCTCCTGTCTCGAGTGACTTGCTCCAGTCAATGTCTTAGAGGGCTTCTGTGGCCCAGCCTTATGGCAAAACCAGGATCAAACACCTGGGCTGTCCTCAACACCACCTCCCCTCTCCCCTCCCACACTTGGCTGGGGCCACGATGCCTACAATGCCCCCACACTGGGCCAGAACTGGAGCACACAAAAAATGTGCTCGGGGTGAACAAGGCCTGAGCCTGCAGCTGGGGTGAAGTCCAGATGGACAGAAACAGGGACAGCAGCTTCCAGGCTCTGCGTCCCTGGGTGGCTGTGCTGTGAGACCACTCCTCCTGGGCGCTCAGAGGACGGTGCAACCATGGAGGGCCACCAGCTGCCAGCCTGGACCCGAGACCCCCACGAAGCAGGGCTGGGCCACCCCCACGTCCTTACTTCTCTTTTCTCCTTTGTCCCAGGCAATGCCGGCCTCCTTCACCTGAGCTGTGATGCCCAGCATCATGGATACGGCCAGTATGTCGGTGATGTGCACCACGAAGCGCTCCTGCAGGGCAGCACAGGGTCTGCATCCAGAAGAGGACACCAGGAGCCCCACTTCACACACACAGGGGCAGCACGGGGTCTGTATCCGGATGGGCCCACCCGGGAGCCCCACTTCACATCCACATGGTGCATATACACATATACACACACACATAAGCAGGGATCCAGAGAGGGAGCCCAGGACCAGCTGGGAGAGGGGCCTGGCAGGAGGTTTTGGGCACCAGGCCTGGTAGGCCATAGGTCCTAGTCTGGCCATGGGAGGGAGATTCAGCCAATAGAGAACCAAAAAGCCCCGTTAGCACAACACACCACCCCCCATGGGCTGGCTACGAGTTAGCTGCAGAGACCTGGAATCTCTGTGATCTGCCCTTACTCTGCACCCCTCACACAGTCTCCAACCCAGCCAGGCAGCCCGAGCCCCCCTCCCGCCGCCTCCCTACTCATTCCTGCTGCCAGTTCCCCCACGCTTGGTAAGTCCTCCTGGGTCTTCACACAGGATGGAACCCATGCTGCCCTCTGGGACGAGTCGCCCCAAACAGGCTCACTCATCCCCGTACCCACTGCTCAGCCAGAGCATTTGAAGGGGTGGAATGAGCATGTGACCCAGGATGAGGGGGCTGGCAACGCGTGAGGGAAAGGCGGCCCAGTGGCCGGGCTGGGCACCTTGAACTCCATGTCCAGGTACTGCGGTTCCTTGCGCTCTTGCATAAGCCCCAGGCAGAAGGCTTGGAAGTTGATCTCGTGCTTGGTCTGCTTGATGATCTCCCGAAGCAGGGCCCGAGACGCCCGCAGGTAATCATCCTTGTTGGTCAGCAGGTCCTGAAACACCATGGCCAGAAACTGGGGCAGAGAGAGGCCACGTTGGAGGCTGCCCAGGGGTGCTGTCCCCATCACAGGCCTGTTCCAGGAGCACGCGCCCTGGCTCCCTCCCGCAGTACAACTGGGTATGGTGCCCAAGGGCGCCACAGTGGATCTCAGACAGTGCAGGGCACAGGGTGTCAGGCTCCTTGCTCCACTGGCTGCCAGCCCCGACTCGAGAGGCCACATTAAGGAGTCCCCTCTTGACAAACAGCACATGGGGAGTTGGTTCTCGTGAAATAAGGGAAAGAATTAATTGACATGCTGGGGGTATGGGACACTGGCAGCAGAGCCATAGAAGCGTGTGTGACATCTGAGCCTGTTCCCACCAAAGGCTGAATAGAAACCAAGACCACCACCCAGGATCTGAAAGGCTGCAGTCTTGTCTCAAAACGCCGGGCTGTGAGGACAGCTGAGCCTGCAGCTAAGAGCCAGCTGCGCCTCCCTCATGTTTCACAGGTCAAGGAGCCCACTGGGAAGCCTAATGTGCTGGTGGTGATGGGAGCTTTCCCCCGCCCCCTTCAAAGGAGACACGGGAATCTGAGGGTCCCTACCGCCAGGACCCAGAGGCCAGTCCCCAGGGCTACAGGGACCCCTGCTTAACCGGGTGATCCACTATTCAGGAGGCGGGTCTGAGCCAGGCCCAGGGACTCATGCCAGTCATCTTTGGGAAGCTGAGGCAGGAGGATTGCTTGAGCCCAGGAGTTTGAGGCCAGCCTGGGCAACATAATAAGACCCTGTCTCTACAAAAAGTTTTAAAACAAAATGCCTCATTATCCAAAGGCAGGAATGAGCTTGAAAAATTAAAAAAGAAGGCAGGTTTGAACTTGGAAACCTGGGTGGCTTTTTTAGACTCAGTGTGGCACCCTCCTAAACGGACCAAGTTTCATGCAGTTTCTGAGAAAAATGCTGGGACCTGTGGCTGCACCCACTCCAGAAATGGCTCAACGTCATGCCCAAGGGTTTTGAGAGCGTCTTCATGAGCCCTTGAAACTCAGGAAGCATTCTCCCACAAAACACCATCAACTGCTGGCTTCTCCAGACGCCACATGCCCCTCCAGCCCAGAGCCCCCCTTCCGGTGTGGAGGGCAAGGCCGGGGGCCCTGGGCCTACCTTGGGTGCCAGCTCCGAGCTGTGCTGCAGTGCCGTGTAGAGGACCTGCATGTTGTTCGGGTTCCGGGCACTCGAGAGCTCGTTGAAGATCACCAGCTTGATGGTAGTGCCCAAGTTGTCCTTGTGCGCACTTAGCAGCTCCCTGGGTGTGGAAACCGGGAGTGTGGTGAGGGTGCAGGCAGGGCAGGCCCTGTCCCCACTCCACCCATGCGCCCCGCTCTGCCTGCGCCCCTGCTGCGCCCACCCGCCTCGCACCTGATGCACAGCATGAAGTGGTTGAGGAGGACCTTGGGCTTGAGGCGGATCTTGATGAGGTGTGAGATGACATCCATGTCCTCGGAGCCGTGCGTGTTGCAGTTCATGCAGACAGACATCAGCAGGTCCTGGGCCGGCCGGGTAAGCTGCGGGGCCCAGGAGGGAGCTGTGGACTCACGGCCACCCTTGGTAGGAAGGCCACACTGTGACCCACACAGAGCCCGCCCTGCCCCACCCCAGACGACCCCGCACCTTGGGGTTCTGCAACCACATCTCCAGCTTCTGCACGGCCAGTAGCCGCACCTCCTTGTAGCCACAGGTGGAGGTAAGGAGCCGCAGGAGGTTCCTTGAGACGTTGTCGATGGGCTGGCGCCGATTCAGCTGGTCCCGCAGCATGTCCAGGACGTACTCCTCCACGCTCTCCGCGAGCTCTTCATACCTAGACCAGAGTGGGGAGCGGGGAGGGAGGAAGGTGGCCCCAAGGCACCCACCCCCACCACGCCCGGGCCCAGATGGGCATACAACTACCTGGGCATGAGCTGGCCCTCCTGCTCGGGGCTCAGCTTCTCCTCCGCGATCAGCAACTCTGTCTGGCTGTCCTCCTCCTCCGTGAGGGAGGGGTGCGGGCTGCTCCCTGCAGACCATAGAGAGTGCCCCATGCATCGCCTTCCATCCCTCCCCTGCTGTGGGATTGGACGCTTGCCCTCTCCAGCCAGCCATGTTTCTTACCTGCGCCCAGGTCGCCCGCACCTCGGCCTGCCTCCCCCTGCAGCAGCACGCTCCTGGGGGGCATCCTGGTGTTGAAGGCCGTCTGGATGTTGTCCACAAATGTCTTACAATGAGGGCTGTCCACCCAGATCCGCTCCCCCAGGGAATCCTCGATGTACACCTGTGCAGGAGCCATGCCCTCAGCCCTGAGCCCAGCCGGACAACCAGGCTGGGGAAGGCCTGCCTGCTGCCCAGGGACGGGGTGCCCAGGCTGCCCTCTCCAGCTTCTGTGTGCAGTAGGACCACACCATGACCCGCCAGGACTGTCAGACACAGACCTCTGGAGAGAACACACTTCTTCTGCCTTTCTTCCACCCCTGCCCCATCCCATGGTGCTCTGTTCTCTTCACTACCAGAGCTGCAACCTCACTAGCCCTGGGAGAGGCCACTCACCTTGACAAAGATCTCAGGCCAGTTCTCGTCTTCCTCATAGGCAGCCATGAGGAGGTTACAGGCCAGCACAGACACCAGGCTGTTCCCCTTGGCCTTGAAGTTGATGGAGGCGTCCCGCCGCAGGAGACTACAAAGAGCCTGGCAGGGAAGGCGAATGTCATGTGGGATCCTTGCTGGCCCCAGAGGCAAAGTTGGCATGGGACGGGCGGGGACACTTAAGAGGGAAGTGAGGAGGAATGCTGAGCATACCGGTCCTGCCTGCCTCCCACCAGGGGCCCAGTTCAAACCTCGATGACGCCCTCGGTGGCAAAGATATTGGGCTTGATCTTGGCCAGGTACATGAGGCTCAGGTAGAGGGTGCTGTCGGGCTTGGCCCGGGTGACCTTCAGCTGCTTCACAGCCCCGCACAGCACGCCCTCGATCCTGTCGTCATTGCCCTCCAGCTCGGCTGCCTCGATCTCATCCAGCAGTACCGTGGGCAGCACTGGCCAGAGCAGGCGGCACGGTCAGAGCGGGGCCAGGGCAGGGCTGCCCCAAAGCCATGCAACACCAGGTAGACCACAGGGAACCCAGGGTGCTTAGGGTCAGCCCCACCAGGGACAGAAAGAGCTCCCACAGGAAACAAGGATCCCCACCCCTGAGGGCGCAGAGCAGATGGTCTCCTCAACACAAAGACAGGCTGCCTCAAAGGCCTCGGCACTAGCCCGCCAGCCGCTCCAGCCTGGCTCCACAGAGGCCGGCATGACTACCCCAGAGGCCACAGACAGACATTTCTCAGTAAGGTGGTCCACTGCAGCCTCGCTTTTTGCAAAACACAGCTCCGCCTGGTGGCTCCTTTCTCACTGTGGACTGCGGCACAGCCGCCCACTCCTCCACACCCACCCTGGCTCCGGGCTCCAGCATGCTCTTCTTCCTACTTTTCCTCCCTCTTTCCATGGGGGCTTAGCTCACGACCTCCCTCCAGACAAGCACCTACCCCTCCCTCACCCTCTGAGAAGCACCAGGGCCAGTACATACCTTTCCTAACGTCATCCTCCTCTGTTTAATTGGAGGAGGTTTTCTAATTTTCATTCTGATTCTTCTTTGACCCAAGAGTTTTTCAGTACTGTGTTTTTAAAATATCCACACATGCCCAGGTGAGGTGGCTCACGCCTGTAATCCCAGCACTTTGGGAGGCTGAGGTGGGAGGATCACCTGAGGTCAGGAGTTCAAGCCCAGCCTGGCCAACTTATAGTAAAACCCTGTCTCTACTAAAAATAAAAAAATTAGCCAGGCATGGTGGTACAGGCCAGTACTTCCAGCTACTTGGGAGACTGAGGCAGGAGAATCACCTGAACCCAGGAGGCGCAGGTTGAAGTGAGCCCAGATCGTGCCATTGCACTCCCGCCTGGGTGACACAGTGAGACTCTGTTTCAAAAAAATAAAAAACTAGGCCAGGTGCGGTGGCTCACACCTGTAATCCCAGCACTTTGGGAGGCTGAGGCAGGTGGATTGTCTGAGGCCCAGAGTTCGAGACCAGCCTGACCAACATGGATAAACCTCTACTAAAAAAGAACTACAAAGTTAGCCAGGCATGGTGGCGCAGGCCTGTAATCCCAGCTGCTCAGAAGGCTGAGGCAGAATTGTTTGTACCCAGGAGGCAGAGGTTGCAGTGAGCCATTGTGCCACTGCACTCCAGCCAAGGCAACAAGAGAGATACTTTGTCTCAAAATAAATACGCGCGCGCACACACACACACACACACACACACACACGCGGACAGGTGTTCTGATCCACCTTAACTCCACCTGGGGCTAAGACCTTGAGGAAAAATCCTGACACCCTGAGATAAGCAGGTGGGACAGGGGGACGGCCTAGGAGGGGATCCAAATACAGATACCACAAATGGCTGGATGCAGCTGTCTCTCCATTTTGCTGAGAATACTTAATATTGTAGTGATCTACCACTCAGAATATGCTTTTCATAACCATATCTTCTTTCAACTTCAAAATCTCCTTTCTACAGGAAGTGGTCCAGGAAAGAAAAGAACAGAACAGAACTGAGCAGCCGGGGCCGAGAACCCAGGCCAGGGTGAAGCCTATGGTCTCTGTCTTCACTTTCAATCCTCACCAGCACCTGGAGAGCTGCCCAGGGACAGGCCTCACATGGGAGGTCTGAGGCTTGACCTCCTAAAGCAGTTCTTCATCTGTGCCCTCCTGGGCCATTTGCCCCCAGGGCTCCCTGATGCCAAATGAATCCAGCACAAACACTGTCTGTAGTGCCCAGCCTCGGCTCTCACTAGTGTGTTCTGCCCAAGCCAGGCCAGGCCTCCATCCCCTGGGCACATTCCTCTCTCTGCTTGGCACCTCCCTTTCCTGCCTGCCCCAGTTTCATCACCCTGCCCGTGTTTCCTGGCCCAAGTTCACACCACAACTCCCTGCCAGGCCTCCTCCCCCCAGGCCCTCAGGGACTCCATATTTTGAGCCTTCACTGGACTCACTCACAGGTTTGCACTGTAGCACCCAGGTCCCTCCCTGAGGGCAAGGCCACAGCCCAGAAGTCCCCTGGGCCCTGCCTAGCACAAAACTCAGTAATCAGGGGTGGCGTAGCTTGAACAGACACCTCACTACCAAAGTCACCAGGATGCTTATTCTTTTTGCTACAAAAGAAATTATCCAAAATAAATGCTCCTATAAAAACAGAACACTGCAGACAAGGCTTGCTGGGGTGGTGTGACAGCTGCCAGTGAGACTCCCCGGGGAGTCATGGTGCCTTTAAAAACGGTCGTTGGGAAAATGGCGCAGAGAAGCAAGGGTGATTCTAGACACACAGTTAAAGGTGTTTCTGAGAGCAACGGGATCATGGTGAAGTTTACCTTTCCCCTTGACATCTACTGTTCTGCTGCTTTTCAACTGCAAGCAGGGAGGGGATCAACTCTTCCCTGTTGGTAACCAGGAGGGAAGGAGAAACAAAGTGCAATCACCTCCGCTCAGGATGAGAGAGGAACACACCAGGATGCGCATCCTTAAGAACACACACCTGGGCTGTCACAGCGCACAGTTTACCCCCTAGGCTCAGACAGTGTCTGTCACAAAGTAGGTGCCCAACAGATACATGAGACCATAAGACAAACAAGTGAAGAGGTTGTGACCGGCTTCTCAAAGGGCAGCCACCAGCAGCCCAGGACACAGAACACACTTGGGGTAAAGGCAACTACGTGACAGCACTTCCAAGAACAAGTCACACACATCCACTCTCCCAGGGGACCCTGGCCATATGGGTGGCGCTGGGCCTGGAGGTGGCCTTCCATGAACACCTGATGGACGGACATGGTGAGGGGCAAAGTCCAGAGACTCATTACCTTCAATTGGCACCACAGATGGTTCTTTAATCGACGGAGAAATGGCTCGTTTTTCTGCCACTGCAGCCTCAGCCAGGCGCCCCAGGGCACTCAGCGGGGGTGTAGAGGAGAGTTTGGGGCGTTTGGTGAGGCCGGTAAGGGCCGAGGCACCAGACAACGCAGCTGCCGCATCCCGCTTGCGCTCGGAAGGTAGGCCAGAAGGGGCTGGCTTCAGCAGGGTGGATGCCGTTTTCGATTCATTGGCCTGACCCTTTGAGCCCAGAGCAATGAAGTCTCCGGGGGGAGGGTGCCCTGCAGGGAAGGGAAAGAGAAAACCTGGTGCGTTCACAACACCCAAGGTGGAAAAAGCCTGACTCCACCCTCCTGTCATCTCAGAGGGGATTAAACAAGGGTTAGAGGAGGCAAGGAAGAAGCCAGAGGTCACTCAGCAGCCAACAGCAGAGGTGCCACCAGCAGGATGGGAACAGGTGGCAGTGTACAGTTACCCAGTGCTAAACACAAGCCCGGCCATCTCTAGCCTATTCCAGTCAGTGTGCTGAGTGCCGCCTGAGTTTCTGCAATAGGTGCGATTACTCTTACTTTACAGGGGAGAAAGGACACAGAGAGGTTAAGCGATGTGCCCAGCGTCACACAGCAGGTGAGTGTCAAAGCCCGGAGGATCTGAGCCGACAGTCTGGCTGCAAACCCCTTGCTCTTAACGCTATGCTATGCTGCCTCCTGCCTCCTGCCTCCCGCCTGGGGAACCCCTTCCACGACACCCTTCCACTACTGTCGGCAGCCTTGCAACTCAGCCTGAAACGAGATCACTAGAATCCCGGAGAAAGTCGCCGCTGTCCCGAGCCTCGCAGGGACTCCCAGAGCCGCTGAGGACCGAGGGTAGTGTTTCCAGACCCAATTCCCGGGAACAGCCGCGGCTGCGGAACACCCTGGCGAAAGGCCGGCTTCACGGCAGCTGAGAGCCCCAAAGACCCGCGGCTGCAGAGCCGGTAGGGCGACGCACCTGAGGGTTTGGCCGCGGCGCTGGGCCGGCGCACCGTGGTGGGCTTGGCCCGGTTCATCCTGCCCCGTCCCTCGCGGTTCCCGTTGGCTGCGGCGTCACCTGAGGAGGAGCCAGCACGCGGTCATTCATTCATTCATTCATTCGCTCGCTCGCTCGCTCATTTGCTTCCCTACCGCATGGGGCCTGCGCCTGGGCCTGGGCCTGGGCCCCAGAGACAGTGGTCCCGTGCCCGCCCGGCGGGGCGATGCTGCAGGGACCCCGCCTCCCAGCCGCCCGGGAGCGGTTCAGTCAGGCCGCAGCAGGCGGCGCAGACACTGGGCTGGGGCGGCAGAACCAGGAGGGACAGCCCCGAGGCCGGGAAGGGGATCCGAGAGAACCAGGTGCTCGCCCCGCAATGAGGGAGCGCCCAGGCCGCAGCCCACTTACTTCAGACCCATAGCGACCGGAGCCCCACCACCACCACCCCGCTACCCCGGAACCGGAAACTGATCTCGCCGCACTTGAGGACCCGACTTTCGGAACAACCGGAAGCAAAACAGCGCGGCGGGAAACCGGACCAGGGGACTGGCGCGAGACTCCCGGCGCCGGCCTGGTGCCTCGAGCACCCCCTGGTGGCGGGAGGCGGGCTGGCCGGCTCTGCGTGCACGTGGTCCGGTCCAGGTGGGTCCGCGGCGCGGGGCGGGCGCCGGCCTCCTCCCCATGTGCAGTTGGGGCTGGCCTTGGGAAGGGACACACTCGAAGACCCACAGCGGGAGGTGTGGCGTCAGGGATCCGCGGAGGTGTCAAGTGGAAAGTTCTGCACGCCCCAGGGGGCAGGGACGGTGGCGGTCGGGGCGCAGGCACTGGGGAGGGGGCGCAGCCCAGGGGGGCCCCCGGGAAGAGGCTCCGTCTCAAATAATAATAATAATAGCTTTATTGAGATAGAATTCTTTTCCACAAAATTCATCCTTTCTCTCTTTTTTTTTTTTTTAAAAAAGGGGTTTCACCATATTGGTCAAGCTGGTCTTGAACTTCCGACCTCAGGTGATCCACCCGCCTTGGCCTCCAAAGTGTTTGGATTACCGGCGTGAGCCACCACGCCCGACCTTTTTTTTTTTTTTTTTTTTTTTTTTTTTTGAGACAGAGTCTTGCTCTGTCGCCCAGGCTGGAGTGCAGGGGCGGGATCTCGGCTCGCTGGAACTTCCACCTCCCAGGTTCAAGCGATTCTCCTCCCTCAGCCTCCCGAGTAGCTGGGATTATAGGGGCCGGCCACCACGCCCCGCTAATTTTTTTGTATTTTCAGTAGAGACTGTTTCCCCGTGTTAGCCAGCCTGGTCTCGAACTTCTGACCGCAGGTGATCCGCCTTCCTCTATCTCCCTAAGTGCTGGGATTATAGGCATGAGCCACCGCGCTTGCTCCCCACCTTTTAATTTTTTTAAATAGATGAAACACTGATGGGAGCAAAAATCAAAAGACACAAAAGATCATACACTTGCCGGGTGCGGTGCTCACTCCTGTAATCTCAGCACTTTGGGAGGCCAAGCTTGGCAGGAGGATCACTTGAGTTCAAGACCAGCCTGGGCAACATAGAAAGACCCCATCTCTACAAAATAAAAATAAAAATTAGCTGAGCATGGTGGTGTGAACCTCTTAATCCCAGTCCTTTGGGAGGCCAAAGTGGAAGGACCACTTGAACCTAGGAGTCAAAGACCAGCATGGGCAACATAGTGAGACCTTATCTCTACAAAAAAATCAAAAATAAATTAGCCAGGCATGCTGGTGCACACCTATGGTCCCAGCTACTCAGGAGGCTGAGGTAGTAGGATCTCTTCAGCCTGGTAGGTCAGGGCTGCAGTGAACTATGTTGGTGCTACTACACTCCAGCCTGGGCAACAGAGCCAGACCCCATCTTAAAAAAAAAAAACAGGATCACCCAAAGGGTCAAAGGTCTCCCTGATCCCCTGAGCCGCCAGTCCGTCCCCTGTTCTGATTTGTGCCCATCTTCCCATACGCGTTCAGACAGCCCCCACCCGTGTGCCTCCCTCTGCCTCATCACCCTGCAATTAGCAAGCACATGGCTCCTCTTTTCTGCACTTGGCTTTTTCCACTTCACCACATTTCGGAGCTCTGTTCCCAGCAGGGCACTGACTGGAACCCTGCCCTGCCACAGAGGGAGGCCTAGGCGTCCCTTGCCCGGCGTCCCCAAACTCATCCAGATATGGCAAGGAGGAGATGGTATCCTTGCGCTCCTAAAGTTGGGCGTGGCCATTCAGATGTGGCCTCAGGCTCGTGGCCCCAGGCTGCAGCCTGAGAGCAGCTGTGTGACCAGCCAAGGTCTCTTCACACTGCTGCAGGCCTCAGCTGGGTCCCTACAAGACCCCAAGGGCTCCAGGGCCCTGTGTGGGCAGCCAGGCCGGAAGGAAATGACCATGGTGCCCATGGGAGAAGAGGCCGGTCAGACAAGGATCCCTGTGGCCCCAGCCGGGGGCTGTGCAACTTCATCCGTCCGCCATGTCTCCATCTGTCCCTCAGGGTAACTCTCTAAGGTGGAGCGGAGATCCGATGAGGTCACGCTTCCTCCTCCTCTCTCCTGAACAGGAGCAGCCTGAGCAGAACTTCCTCCGTCCACCTGCCTCCCCTCACCTCTGACCAGCATCCCTGCCCCTACATGTGGGGCCTGTGCCTCCGGCAAATGCCCTCACCCGGGCCCAGGCCGGAACCTCAGGGTCAACCTTGAGGACCTCCTCTCCCTCCCCCTCTTCCCCCTACCTCTCCTCCCCATCCCCTTCACTTCTCATTTCCCCTCTCCTCCCTCCCTCCCCCTCCTCCCCTCCTCTCCCTCCTCCCCTTTCTCCCTCCCCTCTCTCTACCTCCACCTCCTCTTCCTTTTTCTCAAAAAACTCAGGAGTCAACCTTGACCACTTCCTCTCCCTTCTCTTCCTCCTCTTCTTCCTCTTCCTCTTTCTCTACAAACTCAGGGGTCAATCTTGACCACCTCCTCCCCCTTCTCTTCCTCCTCCTCCTCCTCCCCATCCTTCTTTCTCTACAAACTCAGAAGTCAACCTTGACCACCGCTTCTCCCTTCTCTTTCTCCTTCTCTTTCTCCTTCTCTTTCCCCTCTTCTTCTTCCTCCTCCCGCTCCCCCACCTCTTCTTGAAAACGGCTTATTTGAGTTATAGTTGATGTCTGATACACTGCAGATGTGTAAAAGGTGCATGCTGATGCGTGTTGACATTCGCACGCACCTGTGGCCCCATCTCTTCCAACCACAACACGAACGTTCCCAAACCACCCCTGCCTTGTCCCTAGGCAACCAGAGGTCCACATTCTGTCCCTGGAGAGGTGCAGTTCGCTCTTCTGGAGTTTGTGTGAATGGAAGCACACAGCCCTGGCGGGCTGCACTCTGCGTAATGATTCTCTGACTCACTGCAGTGCTGCCTGCACTGGAGGCTTCTGTCTGTTGCTGAGTGGAGCCTGCTGGGTGGATTCCAGATTCCAGCAGTGTCTCCTCCTCGGATGGCCTGGGCAGGACAGCGGGTGGTCCGTCATCCTGGGAGTGTACATGGTCCACCTTGCATCTTTGTCGGCAGCTCCCCGATACGTGATGATAGGCATTTTCTCATCTGTCTTTTGGCCATATGTATATCTGCATTATTGGTGTCTGTTCAAATTGTTTGCTCACTTTTTAAAAAATTTTTTTAGATTTTTTTTTTTTACACATTTGGTCCCCTCCCCCATTTGCTCACTTTTTAAAAATATTTTTTGTTAGAAATTTAATTTTTAGGCTGGGCGCAGTGGCTAATGCCTGTAATCCCAGCACTTTGGGAGGCTGAGGTGGGCAGATCACCTGAGGTCAGGAGTTTGAGACCAGCTTTGCCAACATGGTAAACCCCATGTCTTCTAAAATTACAAAAATTAGCTGGGCATGGTGGCGGGCACCTGTAGTCCCAGCTACTTCGGAGGCTGAGGTAGGAGAATCACTTGAACCCGGGAGGTGGAGGTAGCAGTGAGCCAAGATCATGCCACTGCACTCCAGCCTGGGCAATAGAGGGAGACTGCCTCAAAACAACAACAATAACAACAAGAAATCATCAGATGTTCCTCCCCCACTCAGAATTCTCCAAATACTGTGTATCACCTGAAAAGTGAAATAAACACCTGTGGTTGTTTCCCATAACAGCTCTTACACAGCACCACACACTTGGTGGCTTAAAGCCACAGGAATGTCCTCTCTGGCAGATCGGAAGCCTGAAGTCACAGCTGTGCTCACTCCAAGGGCTCTAGGGGAGAACCTTTCCTACCCCGACTGGCTCCTGGGGGCTCCAGGGGTCTTTGGCTCGTGGCCACATCCCTCCAGCCTCCACCGCTGTCTCCATGTGGCCGTTTTCTCTCTGTGTCTCTGTGCCTCGTGAGGACACCTGCTGAGGGATTTGAGGCCCACCCACATCCAGGGTGAGCTCATCTCAAGATCTTGACCTTTATTAGGGCTGCATAGTAGTGGCTCACGCCTATAATCCCAGCACTTTGGAAGGCTGATGGGGGCAGATCACTTGAGGTCAGAAGTTCAAGACTAGCCTGCCCAAACATGGTGAAACTCCATCTCAACTAAAAGTACAAAATTAGCCAAGCATGGTGGTGTGCACCTGTAATCCCAGCTACTCGGGAAGCTGAGGCAGGAGAAGGCTGGGAGGAATCTGGGAGAAGGCTGCAGTGAGCTGAGATTGCACCACTGCACTCCAACCTGGGTGACAGAGACTCCATCTCAAAAAAAAAAAACGTCTTTACCTTCATTATATCTGCAAAGTCTCCCCAATGCCACCCCACCCCACCCCACCCCTCAGCCTTCTCACCATTTCTGGAAGGTGCCTGCCTTTCCACATGCTATTCCCTGTGCCCAGAATCTCCCCAGCTGGTCCTGGGGCTCCCTGTCCACCCCATCCTGGCCTTCACTGGAGTGGCCTCCTTCCCTGGATCAATAACTGATGCCCCAGCCCCCACCACCTGGATGTCACCTTCATGTCTTTTTGTTTTTGAGATGGAGTCCGGCTCTGTTGCCCAGGCTGGAGTACAGTGGCGCGATCTCAGGTCACTGCCTCCACCTCCTGGGTTCAAGCAATTCTCCTGCCCTGGCCCCTTAGTAGCTGGGATTACAGGCAGCTGCCATCACACCCGGCTAACTTTTTTTTGAGATAGAGTCTTGCTCTGTTGCCCAGGCTGGAGTGCAGTGGCGTGATCTGCCCACTGCAACCTCCACTTCCTGGGTTCAAGCAATTATTCCACCTCAGCCCCCAGCAGTAGCTCAGATTACAGGCATGCACCACTAAGCCCAGCTAATTTTTGTATTTTTAGTAGAGACAGGGTCTTGCCATGTTGTTCAGGCTGGTCTCAAACTCCTGTCCTCAGGTGATCCACACGTTGGCCTCCCAAAGTGCTGGGATTACAGGTGTGAGCCACCGTGCCCAGTTCTTCCTTCATGTCCTTCCTTCCTTCCTTCCTTCCTTCCTTCCTTCCTTCCTTCCTTCCTTCCTTCCTTCCTTCCTTCCTTTTCTCTCTCTTTCTTTCCCTCTCTCCCTCCCTTCCTTCCTTCCTAGA